ACACCAAGCCACTTTTAACAAACTAATTTGCCCAACTGTATAAATTAATTTATAACCCTTTGGTTACAAAAAACAAACTCCAGGATTTACCTCCACCTGTTCCACAAGCCAAAGTATCCAGACACCAACTTCCCAGTCCTGCAGATGACTGTAAAATCACAAATCCCACTTACTGTTTTATTTATTCTCTATAAAAAACACTCCACCTAGCAGAGGCACTTTTATTTCCCACAGTATCTTTTACCATTCTGCCGGCCTTAGGTGAGCTAGACCGTAGATGCTTCCAAGGGCTAAGATTTGGAGGGTAGGAAACTCAGCATTTGACAGTACTAAGAAAACAAAGTGGAATGAATACACCAGTTCTCTATTCTAGATTTTAGGATGAGAAGATCTTACCTATCAGTGACTTGGTGAACACTGAATGACCTCTGGACAGCTTCATTCAGATCAGCAGCTAACATAACCAGCATATAAACCAATCCTCAAGTGTTCTGCATAAAAGTCACTGTCAGAAAAGCTCCAGTTTCAAAGAAAAACACAGTGTTTTAAGACATGGCTTGAGAACTATGTAAGTATCTTTTTATGCCTCCTCGCCCCCAAATTTTCTTCCTTAGCAACACACAAGTCTTTAAGCCTTCCCTAGTGCCACACAGCATTTAGTCAATTACCTTATAGACCACCCATGACTTTGGGACAGATTTCGCTGTGTGCTCGTTAGTATCAGTCTCACTGTGACAGACCAAGAGACTTGGCAGTCATCTTTCCACAAGCTTACAAACTTTTAAAATTAAGAATCACAATATTTTAGGCTTTGTGGGGTCACAGACTCAATGTTTTTTTTTTTGTTTGTTTTTAAATGACCCAATCTTAGGTTGCAGGCCACATAAAACCAGTAAGATTCAGAAGTGAAATAAAGGTCTGATGGTCTCTACTTTAATTTCTCAGTATTAGCTATTAAACAAGTCCTTTAATTTGTAAGGCCAATCTCCACACTCAACTGGTCCTATCACAGCAATGCCTAACTACATGAAACAGGCAGTGAAAGGTAGAAAGTTTTCAAATCTCAGAACTAGTCAGCACACAGCTCTAGTGACAACTAGAGTCTTTCAATAGCTAAGAATAGCCACCCTAAGAAATTATCTGTAACTATGTGGACAACAACCAAATTGAGGATGACTAGGGTCTATTTTCAGAGACTGTTTAACAGCAGTCAGTGAACACAAACTCCAGAGTGAGAAAATTCACTTCAAATCCCAGCTTTGCCAATCATGAGTCTCTTTCTGGGGCAAGTTTACCCAACCTGTCTGTGCCTAAGTGTGGTACTGGTCTCTCAAAAGTTTGAGGATTACATGAATTGGTTCACTTAAGGCATTTAAATTGCTTGTAAGTTCTTTACAAACATTAGTTACCTTTATTTATCACCACTGTGTGAAGGAAGTCACCTTCAGTTATGTACACATCGAATCCCCAAAAAGGAGCACTAGAGAGACCAAACCTGACAGCCTAGACTAAGTGTGTTTGTAAAGAGGAATGGCAGGAAGGGAAACCAACAGGAGAAAAGAAAACCTGACAGATGGTGGTAAAGATATGCCTCATTTACAGGTGGTAATAATAATCATAGCCAGCTAAATTTCTATTTACTTGGGACTATAGCCCCTAAGGCTAAAATTTCAATCTTAAAAATAATCATCTGGATATTTTTGGTGCTATATGCCAAATAATGAAACACCTGGGGGAAGCTTTAGCTACTAGGCCACCAGGTCATGATCTCTGCTTTATTCGGTCTCTGCTCCAAACTCCTTGCCTACCATAAAACTTTAGAATGATTAATTTAGCATTTTAAGCACTCTATAGAATAGAAAAATATTCCCATTGTAGTCATTATAAAGGATGCACGTCCTGGTGAAATACAAATTGTTCCTGACTCATGCCAATCTTTGACAAGCTTGGTGAGCATGATCAATCCACAACAGCTGGAAGCAAAAGACACAATCAGCCTTCCAGTTTAAAACAGCAGAGATCAAATCCTGAAACCAGTGACCCACGTGGCATCTTTCTAACGACACCTTCAGCAGTTCTAAATCAAGTTTTTAACAATAAAATGAAAATAATCTTGGGGGGGGGGGTTTAATAAGCCCCTCTGGTCCCATAATCCAATTATCTTATGCAGACTCAGCAAACAAACATTAACAATGAATTTCTCAGAAAAACTAGAACCACCTGGGAAAAAACCCTTTCACCAATAATTCTAACAAAGTTGTACCAATAATTACAATACAATTTAGATTGACATAAATTTTTACAACAAAAAATACATTTCTTTAAAAATATTTTACATAAAGCCTCTTTATTTTAATTATAAAAATCTTAAGAACTCAGAACAATCATAGAACCCCAAGGTTAAAATTAAAGCCACAGCAATTATCCTGAACAATGCCACCTATCCTCTCCTTCAGAGAAACAGCATTTGTGTATCTCACACCCCCCCACCCCCTGCTGGCCAGGTGTCTCCAGGCAGATCTACATACTGAACTGAACCAACTGCCAGCTTCAAGAACTTGAGTTCTTTAAGACATGCACCCCCCCACCCAATCAAGGCAAACCTCTCCTGGACTAATTGCAGTCAGATCTTACGTCTTATTCGAAAGTCTCAGAATCACTGAAATGACCAATTTAGAAAAAGAAAGTACATTTGAACCTGTTAATTTGACAAAATAGTTGAGGTCTGGACAGTCCAAACAAAGGATCATCAAAAACCAATTTAACTTGCCCTGGAGGATGACCAATTGAATTGAGAGTCAGAACAGAAGCATATAAGCAATGGCATCTCATAAAATAAAAATTTAAGAATGTGAAGAACTACTTTTTCATCTTGAGAGCAATTCAATTGTTCACTTTGAAAATATAACCTATATCCATTTAACAAAATACAGCAAAACAGAAGGCACATGCTACAATTTTAAACACACAAACTACAACCTAACCACTTAAAAGGCTGCAAATTACAGTCCCTTCTACTGTGATATCCTATGATTACAATGAGTCAAGGTTAAAAGCAACATTTTTCAAGGTATGATCCACAAGCCATAATCACCTGGAATTCTTGTTTAAAAATGTACCCCAGACCCAATGAATCCAAGCTGGGAAAGAGAACTCAGGAATTTGTACCCTTTCAAAGTACTGTAATCACACAAATCCAAAACCAGTGTATAAGGTTTAAACCCTAAAAATGGTAATACTAAATGAAATGCTAACAAGTTCAGAGATCAATCAACTAGAAAGTGGTCAATTATAAGCACCAAAGTATTCCTTCCCTTCCTAGCAACCTATTATCAAAAACCTGATGAAAAATGCAGCCTTGGCCTGTCAGCAAGGCAGACAGTGTTAAGAACAGATGGAAAATTCCTAAAGGTTTTGGAAGAAACAAAACGTTTCCCCACAACTGCAAACGTGGAAGCAGACCATCAGTGCTTACAATTCCTTTTGCTCCCCCCACACTACTTTACAGCTGAGTGATGCTGGTTTTTCAGCAGCCAATCACGTCTGTCTTTAAGCTTGATCTTGCTCACTTGGTTTCCTGCAGTGTTGTCCATTTCACAAACATTCGGTATTCTTGTGTTCCTATAAACCTTCAGTTGTTTACTGCCTTCTAAAGTACAGATGCAAGAAAACGCTGAGGCGACTGTCACACCTGCAAGGCCAACACTCTCAGCACACCGGCGCACAGCCCCCTGCAACTAACTGCACGACCCGCCCTGGCAGCCATCTTGAAAATGACGCCCCGCTCCCGGGGGAGCCCGTGAGTGCTGCCAGCGAACTGCATCTCGCCATGGCTGCTGCTGCAGGCCATCTAGCAGTATTCCTGAAGATGCAGTTTGTACCTCTGCCTCCAAACACGAAGAAAACTGCTACCGTGGGCTAAGGCCACTCTAACAAGCTACAACCGAACCTTTAATAAAACTGATTTAATAGGTCTGATTTTCGGACAAGGCAGTAGAAGAACTAAATATTGAGGAAGGCAAGGGCCATTTTATACCAGAAGTTCCTTACTCTACGAGCAAATGAAAACAACCCTTGTTGTCAAAGCAGTCCTAGTATGAAATTCACCCAAGGCAGCTATGCTGAAACACTAAACAAAGGCAATATAGCCTCAGTCAAGATGACCAGACTTCATGGATTTGCACTGACTGTTAAATCATGTTACTTCCAAATGTCAACAAGTTGTAGTAGCCTACACACTGATCAATAGGTCACACTGATTTCAAGTACCAATTTCAGTAACGTATAAAATAATGACAAGTATAAAAATGCAGTGGGCCCCAGTCTAACAGATTTATACTAAATCCTGGTTTCATCAGTATGCCCTGTTAGGAGATGGCTCTCTCATTCCACTAAAAAGGAAAAAAAATTATTTACTTATTTTTAAAAAGAGGAAGGGAGGGAGAGAAACATCAGTGTGTGGTTGCCTCTCACACACCCCAACTGGGAATCCAACCGGCGACACTTTGCTTCGCAAGCTCAATCCACTGAGCCTCACCAGCCAGGGCTCAGTCCGACTGCTCTTAAATTACATTGTACCATAACAAACCCTTTAAGCTAGCTTTAAATTAATTATTAGTCACAAAACAAAGACGATCTCTAGATCCACTAATCCCTTCAGTCATTAAGGAAAACAAAAATCCCCCTAAACAACACACCAGAAGCAGCAATCGAAGCATACTTCAACAATCCCAACTCCTTAAAGCCTGCACCTTGGAGCAGAGCGAGCAAGGGGTGGGACAGTCAGCTCACCTGTTGATGAAACCATATCCGTTTCTTACATTGAACCATTTTACTGTTCCCAAAACCTTCGTTGCTGGAAGAGGGGGGGAAAAAAAACCCACGATTACCAGACATCCTTTTTCTAAAACCACCACGCTTCAGCATCCGGTCCCTCGTGTGCTTCCCGGCGGCGGTCCGCGGCCACCTGACAGCCTTTTCCTTTAGAGCCTGCTCCCGGACCCACCGCGCCTCCGCGGTCCACGTGGGTGACCTCGAGCCCGCCACGGCCAGGGGCGGGGGCCCAAGTTGGGCGTTCGCCGAGACAGCAGGCAGCGGCTGCAGGGCGCAGAGCACGTGAGGGAAGGGGAAGCCGCCCAGCCCACTCCAGCCTGCGTAGGCGGCGCGCCGCGCCCTCAGGGTACACGCGGAAGGGAGCGGGTGGGGGGACGGAACAACGGCATGCGAGCCCCAGCGCACGCGGCCCGCAGGGAGGGCGGGACCCCGCCGCACACGCGGTCGGTGGCGCGCGGCCGCCCGGGGGGAGGGGCGCGCGGCCACGCGGGGCCCAGGGGCGCGGAAGGCGGCGCGCGTGCGCCTGCCGGGCACGCGGACCAGGCGGGCCGGCGTCCGCGAGGGCGCAGGCCTGGGGGAGGGGCAGCCGCGCGCTACCGAGTCGGTCTCCGCCGGCCGCGCGCCCGCCGGCTCGCCCCGCTTCGGGTAACGGTTCCGCCGCCAGGTTTTCCTACGGCCCCACCCCTGTCCCCGTCCGGCTCTCACCGATGACCTTCTTGTCCCCGCCGGCAGGCGCCGCCGATGTGAGGCCGCCCGGGCCGCCGCTCCCTGCGCCGCTGCCCGTGGAGCCGGGCTTGGTGTCGGCAGCGCTGAGGGTGGGGGCGGCGGGGGGGGCGGCAGGCGGCTGTTGGGTTTCGGCCTCGCTGCTCATTGTTGCGGTGATGGTGACTGGGGCCGGCTGTGGCAGCTACGGCTCCTCCCGGGGTGTGATGGTAACTAGGCCGGCGGCGGCGGTGGGGCTGCTCAGGGCTCTCTGGGGTCCGCTCTCCGCTCCCGCTACCGATCGAACTAGCGAGAATGGCGGGACGGGCGGGATAAGCCCTGCGATCGACCCGCCTTAAGCATCGTTCACTGGCCAGGCATGCTGTCAATCTGGTCACCTGACCCTAACTCCCTACTTGTATTGGCTAATACTTGATCACTCCTCCACTTTCATTGGCTCTTAGGCGGCTAATTCGGTCGACCTACAACCGTTCCTGCCTCCGCCGCCGCCATAGAGACCGGAACTAGAATTAGAGTCACCACGAGAACCATAGAGTACCCCAGAGGACGGGCAGAGAGAACGTGACTTTCACGAGGAGGTAGCATGGTTGGGCGGGCCACACATCCAGGTTTGTGGCTGGTGGTAGGAAAGGCAGGGCCGAATGCCTGAGCTGGGATTGCCCAGTCACCAGAGGGCTTCGAGGAGTGCCGGCCGACACTTTAGCCCCGCGTGGGAGAAGGCCTCCCACCCTCCCCGCTCCAAATATGGTCGTCGTGACCTCAGACCATTACTGCGGATAGAGTCGTATTTTCTACAATGGCCGTGTACTCGCGGAACAGCGGAGGGCTTCTGAAACAGACTTAAACCTATGCATTCAAGGAGCGTCCGTTTTCGGCGCAGCAGTCACCTTGGAGGGACCTCGCAGGCTCTCAAGCAGCCCCTACTCTGCATATTTAGGGTGGAGGGCGGGGTGTACTCCATGGAGACCTGCCTTCCTATCCGTTTTACCAGGCACGTTAAGGACCGTCTTGTTAAGCGTTCACGTCTTTTTGTATTGGCCACAAATCATATTTATTTTCAAATCACGTTTATTGAGCAAGCTAGGCATTTTTTATTGCATTTCATTCTTACAGTAGCCACGTGAAATAGGGATTACTATCCATGTTTCACAAACGATTTATAATTGAGGCTGCCACATGGTGTAGCTGAAATCCTCCACCTTCATCCTTCTTTATTAAGCATCTACGATCTCCTGGGGATGGACTAGTTTTCCAGTTTTTACCTTGTTAAATTCAGTGTAGGGATGAAAGCAGAAATTTCAACACCTAACACTCCAGCGTGGCAAAATCACAAAGCAGTTTGGGAATGGAAATGGAGAAGGTGGAGTGCCGACTCCAGGCACATGAGATTTATGTAAAATCCTACAGGCTAGAAGAGATGGTGAAAAAGCAAAGTTCAATAAAACTAGAATGAAGACACTGGGTTGTAGAGGTAGGCAGGGTCAAATTAGGGATACTGTATTTGAAACTTATCCTAAGGGCAATAGTGAGAAGGCTAATTTAGAGTTGCAAGTAGGGAGTGGCATAATTTTTACAAAATGCATACTCAGTGGAGGATGGGTTGTAGGAGGGCAAACGTGGAAGTAGGAAAACAGGAAGCTGGTACAGCAGTCCTCACCCCATTAGTATCATCTAGGCCTGCCAAGGCCACTTAATAAAGACCTCCCTGGATCTGTCCTAAAATCCTCTGATCTCTTCATTCCTCCTGCCACTACTCTACTGTGGGCCACCATCATCTGTTGCCTAGAGCAGAAATAGGCAAACTTTTTCTGTAAGGGCTGGGTAATAAATATTTTAAGCTTTGCAGGCCAGATGATCTTCTCTCAACTGCTCAACTTTACAGCCTAAAAGTAGTCAATAGACAGTAAACAAGTAAATCTATCTTCTAAATAACTTTATTTCTGGTCACTAAAATTTGAATTTCATATTTTTATGACACGAAATACCGTTTAATTTTTTTCAACTACTTAAACATTTAAAATATTTTTATTTATTTTTAGACAGAGGGGAAGGGAGGGAGATAAAGAGGGAAACGCTGATCAGTTGTTGCTTCTCGCCCCAACCAGGGGGAACCTACAACCCAGGCATGTGCACTGACCAAGGATTAAACCAGGGACCTTTTCCTGTGTGGGATGACTGAGCCAACTGAGCCACATCAGTCAGGGCTCAACTATTTAAACGTCTAAAAACCACTATATTCTTAGCTCACGAGCCATTGGAAAATAGAGAGTGAGATGGCCAGCCAGCTGTAATCTGCTGACCCCTGGTTTAGAGCAACTGCTGTGGCTTCCCAGGCAATCTCTCTACTTCTTTCTTACTCTGATATTCCCCACCGCACATCCAGAGTGTTCTTTAGAAAACATCTATTTGATCATGACACTGTCTCATTTAAAATCTTCCAGTGATTATTCAATCTCCTTACTGTGGTCTATAGGACTGCATACACTTCTCTAAACTCATCCCCCATTCTTCTTCCACATTCCTTGTCCAATCTTCCAGGTGATCATTTAGCCCTTGCTTCCTTTGGGCTATCACTTGCTGTCTCCTCTATCTGTAACACTCTGCATTTCCCCTTTGCCTGCTTAACTCTTCATCTTTTAGGACTTGTCTCAGATGTTAGGTTAAGAGACCTTCCTATCCTAACACTGTATTGTACTAGTTAAATTTTCCCAGCTAGACTGAATTCCTGGAGCACCTAGCATAGTACAGGAGACACAATACCTGAATAAATCTGTTAAATGAGGGAAATGGCGTAGGAAACGGCCTGGAGAAGGAAGTACTCGCAGAAGGGAGGTCATCTGGGCAGCTGCAGCAAGATGTATGGAGAGAAGTAGGTGGATTCCAGAGCTGCTATTCCTCTGTTCCAGCTCTAGATGACTTTTGACTGCTAAAAAAACAGTGTTTCCTCAAAAGGCAGTTCTGCCGACATTTGAAAGTGTGCTGTATCAGCTTGAAAGCTTTTTTTCAAAGTAGAGTTACAAAGATAGAACAATGGCAACAGCACCTGTGAAAATAAGTGAGCAACCTTCCCTATGTAACTGTTTTGATGAGATGGTTTCTCTAGCAGAAATATAAATTCTGTAACATTTGCCTTTAAAATGTTACTTAAAGTATCATCACTTACCCAATTACTTCGCTAAGCTGTTTAGTGGACATAAAGATGAGAGCTATTTTCTACCAGTTTTCTCGCAGCCACCTCTCTACTACTGCAGAGGTGCTTCTGAAGCACTTGGAGTATTCATGCCAGAATTCATCTCCTATTCCAAAGCGGGAGCTCTCTACTCTGCAGTTGTGCCAGTTGCCCAGTCCCGAGAGCTCACACTGCCCAGCATGGTGACCACACTTCAGACAACTCCAGTGCCTATTTTTAAGTGATGTGAAAGGCAAGAAGGGGGTTCATTCCAACAATCTCCTTTACAAAATGACTTGCACCTTGTCCCCATCTCTAACAGACTCTGGCTCAAGAACCCAGCTCCCTCTTCCTGGAAAGCCCTCTTCACCCTTATCTCCTGACAAATTCTGATCTGTCAATATTTACCTCAAATGGTATCTCTTTTTCTCAGGCCGTCTCTCCACTCTGCTTCCACAGCATCTTGTACGTACCATTATCATTCATGCAACAAATGTCTATTGAGCACTGACCAGGTGCTAGATGCTTACCTCTTCTAGGTGCAGGGGACACAGCAGTAAAACAAAACAAAACAAAAAACAAAACTGGCCAAATTTCCTGCCTTTAGAAGGGCTCACATTCTAATACCACATTGTATCAAAACTGCGCCTATCTCCTGTCCCAAGCACAGGCCACATCTCACTCATCTCCGTAGCTCTAGTGCCCTGTACAGAGGCCAGCAGAGAAGGTAGGTGTCAAGTATAACCACCTCCAATCGAATGGCCCCTCACCAGAACACCAACTCAGGGTCCCAGCTGATCATCCTCCTTTCTATCTCTTTATAATCCTACCTTGTATAGTTACTTAATCACAGTTCTTTTTTTCACTGGGTCCCCTGAACTGCTTACTCAGCTATAGAGTTGCAAATATCTATAAGTCCCTTGTATCTCCCTGCCAGTGCACTGAAATGGCACTTTTAACCAGGTTCAATTATGCCACAGAGTTCAACTCTCTGTTATCTCTCCAGCTGCAGCAGTTTGCTGCCAGGAGTTATGAGTCATCCTATCCCTGAGCCAGGAGAAAGTAGAAATGGGAGAACATAGACACTGGGAATTCTTCACCTCTTGAACACTATTCTCAGTGGGAACTTTTTGTATGGGTCACTGTCTTTCAAAACTAACATTCACAAGGCACGTTACTATCTACAAGTTACCTCCATTCTCTTCGAGCCTTTCAACAATGCTAGGAGGTAGACAGGTGTTTCATCCCCATTTTGTACATGAGGAGACTGGCGATCTGAAAGGGGCAGTGAACTTCTCAGGACCTCAACTGTTTAAAAAAAATGACCCAAGGTTCAAGCCAAGGTTTTTGACTAAATTATTCCCGCTTCATCATGATCAAGATACACCCTCCCACCCAAAAATATCCAACATTAGTGACCCTCTTCCCGCAGGCTTCGGAACCAACCAAACTGACCCTACTGGGAACATCCTTGGAATACGTCTGCCCTAGGGCGTTGCCTTTTCTGCTCGTTCAGCCTGAATGTAAGAGGGGGCTGCGACCACTATTTGTAAAGTTGAGGCATCAACTGTACATAGCGAGGGTCTGGCTCAGGTCCGCACTGGCTGTGCACCTACGAGCACTGCAGCTAAGGTGTGAGGAGATGGGCTGTCATGACAGTAATACACGCACACAAGCAAACCCCCCCAAAACAAACAAACAAACAAAAACACCTTTATTTACAGTTGAAAAACAGGGAAAATCTTGGGTTCAATCTGTGATACTTCCAAGGTCTCTTGATCAAACAGGGCATTGGCAGGCCAGGAAGCAGACACAAGGACCAGTGCAGATTATCTTGCTCATCGGAGACCCAGAGGTCTGCGAAGGAAGAGATAAGCAGCTCAGAGGACTGGAAGTGGACTTTCGATGGGACAACTTTCCCACCTTTACACTCCTGATCCTCTTGTCCCAAAAGAGTAAAGACTGGTGTGATTCTTTTTTTTTTCCTAAAAATATTTTATTTATTTTTAGAGAGAGGGGGAAAGGAAGGAGAAAAAGGAAGAGAAACATCAATGTGTGGTTGCCTCTCACGCTCCCCCTACTGGGGACCTGGCCCACAGGTCCAGGCATGTGCCCTGACTGGGAATTGAACCTGTGAGCCTTTGAGTCACAGTCCACACTCAATCCACTGAGCTACACCAGCCAGGACATGATTCCTGACATAGGCCAGACCTTAGTTTCTCCCAAGCAAAGTTGAAAAGTATGTTATACAAGAACCAAGAAGAAAATATTCCACCAAGCATATTATCTCATTATTTACCCTTCACAACTCTGTGCAGTATACATTATACAGTTAAGCAAAGGAGAAAACTAGGGTCCCAAGGGATTTAATGGTTTGACAGAGATGGGACTTTCTAATATACCGGCTCCAAAGCACATGTCTTTTTGGGAGACAGGAAGGGAGAAGGAATGTATCAATGCAAGAGAGAAGCATCAGTTGGTGCCTCTCATATGTGCCCGGACCAGGGGTTGCTTGTGCCTGACCAGGGATCAAACCCGGTAACAGGACAATGGCCCAACTAACTGAGACACATCAGTCAGGGTGCATGTATTTTTTTTTGCCAGGCTCTGTGGCACTCTGTGCAGCTGCAGAACAAACAGCAATCCTTTTACTTGCAGGTTTTGGTCCCAGAGTTTGGAGAAAGGAAATTCCGCACCCTGTTTATGGCCTTGGAGGTCGCTGTATTAAAAGAACACGGTGAGTACACTCAGATACTACAGTGTCCCCCTCCCTATGAATGTGGCCACACCCCTCTTCCTCCAGAGGACAGGGAGCCCTGGTGTCATAATGAGGCTCAAAGAGAAGTTGGACTCTGGACCCTAATGCAGAATGTGCAAAAATGTATAAATGCACTTTGTAAGTTGCATGCTGCTCCAGAACCTAAGCCCTGTCACAGACCAGGCACTGTGTTTGTCAGCGTGGTCCCTGCCTCGAGGAGTTCTCAGTCTAGAGGAAACCCGACAGACACGTCTGTGTGAAATGCTGTGATGGAGAGATGAACCAAGTACTGGCAGCTCACAGGAGGGGCCGCTGACGGCCGAGGACAGCGGGGAGGAGAGGGAGGAACCAAGAATGATTCAAAGTGATGTTGACCACATGCTCCCGGGAGGGGCTGGGGGCACTAGGGTTAGTTAAAACTATATATATATGGTATGTATTTGTTATGAGATATGTGCTCACTGTAGAAAATTCAAGAATATATAGGACAATATAAATTGAAAAGAAAGTCTCTTTGCTATCTCTACTCTGCAGAGGTAACCATTATTAACAGTTAGCTATGAATCACTACAAAAACTTCTGAAATAGTTATTCAAAATAAATAGTATCATGGCTTATATAATGTAGTACATCTTGACATTTTCACTTAATTTACCTTAGAAATCCCGCCAACACATGCAGATCTACCTGTTTCTTTTTTAAGGTTAGCGTATTCCATTGACAGGGGTACCTCAACGGGTGTAAGGCCTGATTATGACATAAGGGGCTTTGCCTCCATATGGTCACGCACCACGTGACATTCTGGTCAGCCATGGACTGCATGTACGGTGGTGAGCCTGTAAGATTATAATGGAGCTGAATAATTCCTATTGCATAGTGATGTTGTAGCCATTGCCACATTGTGGTACAATCCATTACTCATGTGTTCACGACACTGCTGGTATAAACAAACCCACTGCACTGCACTGCCAGTCTTATTAAAGCTCAGCACATGCAATGATGTACACATGCAATGATGATAATAAATGATTATGTTACTGCTTTATGCACTCAGTACACGATGCTTTTTATCATCAGAGTATACTCCTTCTGCCTAGGAAAGTTTGCTGTAAAACAGTATACTGTGCTTCACCAGCAGCATTTCATGCTTATCACATTTCCTAATTTCATCTTTTTCTCAGGGTGGGGGACAAACAGTGGCCCACACAACAGGAATGCAAATATTTGCCACCAAATTTCCAGTGCTCCCAAGACTGGTGTTTTGGTGTGGAACCTCTTTCCTCTGGCCTGGACTGCTGCAGGGGACACCTTACTGGCCTCCACCTCGTCCTCCACATTGCTGCCGGAATCAATTTCTGAGAAAGTTCAGTCACAATGTTCTCCTGCTCAAAATCTTCTGGGGCTCCTACTGGCTTGGTTCTTTTTGGAAGATCAGGCCCCCTTTTGAGAATTACAGGGGCACAATCGACCCTGACTCCAGGGAGGAAAAAAACGTACACACCACCTGCAGCTCACCCCCACCCCCAGGACTGCACAGGGGCCCCTCAGCCTGTGCTGGTTCTCACAGCTAGCCCTGCCCTCCGCCAGCCTCACCTCTTTCTGTCTGCTTTTCAGACCCTCCTGCTTCAGCCATATTGAATTATTTGCCATCTCCCACACATTTCCTGCTGTTCCCTGCTGGTGTGCTTGGCTTCTGCTGTTCCCTCTGCCTGGAGTGCCTCCCCAGTTTCAGCCACCTGACAAGCTATTCTCTGGTGTACTAAGCTGAAGCATCGTCTCTTTCGCAGTCTTCCCAAACCACATAGTCAGTCAGACACGGGCACTCCTGCTTTCCTTACTTCATCCTCAAACCTGCAGTCCCGTGCTTTCTTGTCTGCGACTGCAAGCTTCCCAAGAGACCCTGTGTTCCTTGAAGGCAGGAACTGGGCTTTTCAAATCTGTAGCCTCGTCTGCAGCAAGGGGCCTAATCTTATAAGAAAATGTTATTTTCAATTACCAATGACAGACAGTATTATAGTACTTCCAGGCGAACAGCATAGGGATTAGAGACAGTTATATACCTTAGGAAGTGATCGCCCAGTACAGGACCTATTTTAATTAATTAGGGCTGAGTCGTAGAACGGAGGACCAGCCCATGTGCCACCACGTCTTTCACGATCATTCTCCGAGAGCACCCATCACGTCTACAGGTAATCCCGCAACGGGAAAGACTATGTCCTAAACCTTAGCCCTTCCAAACAGCGCCTGCACAACTGTTCCTGTATCTACCACCCACAGCCATAATTAATTGTAACCTAATCACTATTTGAACTTCAATAATGCCTCATTATAAGCTATAATTGTAAAATTATGTATTGTGCTAATTATGTATGTTTTCCTCAGATGCAAATGTTAAAATAAACTCTCCAGGGGAGGGATCTGGGAATTAGTAGGTTTAACAAGTGTCCCCAAGTGATTCTTCTCCTTTGGGAACTTGGGGTTCAATGAACTAAAGAAAGTCTCTACTACTGGCCACACATACCACGTTTGGGGATCACAGGGAGGTGGGCAGCAATTCAGACTAGCAGGGCAGCCAGAGCCAACAGCCACTCCCTTTTCCAAGAGACTCTCAGGCTTTTAAAACAGAGGTTCCACCAGCCCTCATGTGATTATAAGCAGCAAAGAACATAGTTCAGACTACAGCAGGAGATTCCTGAGGGGCAAGGTTCCTTTATGCATTCAAATTTATCATAAAAGGCTTTTAAGGACCCCGACATAAAACCAAGGTTCCTACATCGAAGACTGTACAGAAAACTTCATTTTCACTACAACCAAACTCAGGGTCTAAGGCAAAACACAAGAGTTCTGAAAGGAAATGCTTCACAGGGAGGTACAGTGGATCAAGGGGCCCCACCCACCTTCTAGCTCCTTATATTTTCAGGGCCTGGGCACGCGGCCTCAAGTGCGTCATTAGGTGACATCTCGATCCGAATGCAGTAGATTCCTGCTAAACCAGTGCCCCCAAGAGATCATCTCCTCCTAGGTCTTTTCCGATTGGAATAGGGTGGACTCTCAGAATTAGAGATGCTTGTTACCTTATAACTGGGAAGAGGGATGGGATGGCACCCTGTTGCCTGAGGAATTACTCTCCTCTTTTCCTTACTTTCTCCCAAATGACATTACTCAGAAACCCAAGGAGGGGCTCCCATCTCTGGAACTCATTTAGGTCACACTGCCCTGTAGATTCCCTAACACCTTAAAACAGGCGTGTCAAACTCATTTTCATCAGGGGTCTCATCAGCCTTGAGGTTGCCTTCAAAGGGCTGAATGTGATTTTAGGACTGTATAAACGTAACTACTCCTTAACCAGGGGGAAGGAGCTCGGTACTGCTGCTGGGTAGAAACAAGGTGCTGGGCCGGATACAACAAGGTGGAGGGCCGGATTCAGCCCTCAGGCCTTGTGTTTGCCACCTGTGCCTTAAAACCTATGATGAGGACTTTTGGTAAAGTTAAGTGAGATAATTCAAGTAAAATTCTTAGCTCAATATTTGAGCATAAGAAGTATTCAATAACTGATAACTGCTTTCATTATGTTGTTCCTCAGTATTAGCTACGAAAGATGCAATTCTGAGCAAGTCAGGACTAGGTGTCTGAACTGGCACCACTACACGTGGCTCCTTAAATTTAAGCACCCAACTGTCACCTTGGCTGGAAGCGACCATCACAGCACAGCCATAAACATTTTCTCCATCGCAGAGAGGAATGTCTGCTGGGCAGTTCTGGTCCTGAGGGCCTCGGGAACATCGAATGACGGCCCCCATGGAATTTGTTCTGCTTACGCTATGGGCTGAGAAGAGGGGTTTTCATGGGGGCAAAGGTTATATGGTCTCCGCTAACAGTGAGTGAGGCAGGGAGGGCTGATGACTGCCACCCTCAGAAATCAAACCCCCAATAAGGATATCTAGTAACTTTCTGTCAGGGACTCAGAAAAATATAGACAAGAGGCCCAAAACATAAAGAATTTATTTTTTTATGTTCTTTATTTTATCTTCTGTCCTCTGGCAGTAATCAGTGGTCAATCTTTAGAAGGAAAAGGACCTATGAGTTCAACTTTAGTTACAGCAAAGAGCTAAGGGAGAAAGGGAGGGAATGGCCAGCAGCTATTCAAGGGGGATACAGGCTGAGCCCGAGGGCCCCAGTCTGAGAAGGGCAAGCTTAGGTGTCAACTGGGCTTGGAAAGGGACCATCTGGCTGGACAAATGAGAGGTCCATGTGCAGCTCCCAGCACACACTTGTGCATTCCTGCCTCAGGATTTGCTCACACCAGTTCCCTGCCTAACATGCCTGACATTCTCTCTCTCTCCATTAACTTGTGCAACAAAATTTTACTGAATGCCTATAAGGGCCAGATGCTGTAAACACAAAGTAAGTCACAGATAGAGGTACAAACAGTCATTAAAGTAGTCTGAAATTTGACTGGAACTCCATTTGGGAAAAAAGGCAAAATTGAGAAAAATATATTCTAAGATAATTTTGTAAGTACACAAATACAACTAAAGAAATATTAGCAAGAATACAGAAGACTTTATGATCTGAGGTAGTAAGGACTTTCTTAAACAAGATAAATCACAAAAGCCTTAAGGGAAAGAGTGGAATTTTTACCTCGTCAAAATCTAGAACTTCTGTTCAACAAAGAATATAACCAAAGTTCAGATAAGCAACACACTGCCAATTTTTTCTTAAACTACATTCTGGACAAAATAGTCACAACATAGAAAGAATTAAGACTTTTGGAGGAAATAGTCATAACTTAAAAAGAACTAAGACTTCTGGAGAAAATAGTCATAACTTACAAAGAACTAAGACTTAGAATGCATAACCATTCATATCATTAAGAAAAAGGAAAAATAGCCCTGGCTAGTGGAGCTCAGTGGATTCATCACTGGCCTGTGAACTGAAAGGTCGCCAGTTTGATTCCCAGTCAGAGCGCATGCCTGGGTTGCGGGCCAGGTCCCCGAGTGGGAAGCAACCAATTGATGTTTCAATGTTTCTCTCGCACCTCTGCACATCGATGTTTCTCCCCCTCTCCTTCTCCTCCTCTTCCCCTCTCTCTGAAAGTAAAAATAAATAAAATCTTTAAAAAAGAAAAAGGAAAAATAAACTATATGCTACAAACATCTTCCAGAATATTATGTTAGGTTTTTTTAATCCTCACCCAAAGATATATTTATTGATTTTAGAGAGAAAGAAAGAGAGAGAAAGAAATATTGATGCGAAAAAAACATCAACTGGCTGCTTTCCACGCACACCCCAACCAGGCACGAACCACGGCCTTCTGGTGTATGGTGATGACGCTCTAATCCACTGAGCCATCCCACCAAGGCCATTTTTTTTGTGTGTGTGTGGCTTTTTTGTTTTAAAGATTTCATTTATTAACTTTTAGAGAGAAAGAGAGGGAGAGAAACATGCAAGAGATACATCTATCAGTAGCCTCTCACACACCTGCAATGGGGACCTGGCCTGAAACCTAGGCATGTGCCCTGACTGGGAATCCAATCAGCGACCCTTCAATTCTCAAGCTGATGCTCAAGCCACTAAGCCACACCTGCCAGGGCTTTTTAAAAATTTTTTTTAAAAATATATTTCATTGATTATGCTATTACAGTTGTCCCATTTCCCCTCCTCATTCCCCTCCACCCTGCACACCCTCTCCCACCCACATTCCCCCCCTTTAGTTCGTGTCCATGTGTCATAAGTTCTTTAGCTTCTACATTTCCCATACTATTCTTGCCCTCCCCCTGTCTATTTTCTACCTAACATCTATGCTACTTATTCTCTGTACCCTTTCCCCCTCTCTCTTCCTCCCACTCCCCTGTTGCTAACCCTCCATGTGATCTCCATTTCTGTGGTTCTGTTCCTGTTCTAGTTGTTTGCTTAGTTTGTTTTTTGGTTTTGTTTTTAGGTGTGGTTGTTAATAATTGTGAGTTTGCTGTCATTTTACTGTACATGTTTTTTTATCTTCTTTTTTCTTAGATAAGTCCCTTTAACATTTCATAAAATAAAGGCTTAGAGATGATGAACTCCTTTAACTTGACCTTATCTGAGAAGCACTTTATCTGCCCTTCCATTCTAAATGAAAGCTTTGCTGGATAGAGCAGTCTTGGATGTAGGTCCTTGCCTTTCATGACTTGGAATACTTCTTTCCAGCGCCTTCTTTCCTGTAAGGTCTCTTTTGAGAAATCAGCTGACAGTCTGATGGCAACTCCTTTGTAGGTAACTGTCTCCTTATCTCTTGCTGCTTCTACAATTCTCTCCTTCATTTTCACCTTGGCTAATGTAATTATGATGGGCCTTGGTGTGTTCCTCCTTGGGTCCAACTTCTTTGGGACTCTCTGAGCTTTCTGGACTTCCTGGAAGTCTGTTTCCTTTGCCAGAATGGGGAAGTTCTCCTTTATTATTTGTTCAAATAAGTTTTCAATTTCTGGCTCTTCCTCTTCTCCTTCTGGTACCCCTATAGTTCGGATGTTGGAACATTTAAAGATGTCCTGGAAGTTCCTAAGCCTCTCCTCATTTTTTTTTGAATTCTTATTTCTCCATTCTTTTCTGATTAGATGTTTCTTTCTTCCTTCTGGTTCACTCCATTGATTTGAGTCCCAGTTTCCTTCCCATCACTATTGGTTCCCTGTGAATTTTCCTTCATTTCCCTTAGTATAGCCTTCATTTTTCCATCTAATGTGTGACCAAATTCAACCAATTCTGTGAGCATCCGGATCATCAGTGCTTTGAACTGTGCATCTGACAGGTTGGCTATCTCTTGGTTGCTTAGCTGTATTTGCTGTGGAGCTTTGACTTGTTCTTCCATTTGAGCCATTTTTTTTTGTCTTGTCGTGCCTGTTCCGTATGAGGGGTGGAGCCATAGGTGTTCACCAGGGCGGGGCAACCCAGTCACTGGGTTGTGACACTGCATGTGGGGGCGGGGTCCGAAAGGGAACAATGGCGCCTACTCCCCTCTCCGTCAGACTTCAGTTCCTTCCACTGTTTCCCCCAAGAAAACTGGGCCTTTCTAGTGCTCATTCCTGTGTAGGTGGGCTTGTGCACGTTCTAGGACCCTGTGGGTCTCTCCAATGAACTCTCCTGTGAGGCTGGGAGTCTCTCCCAACACCTCAACCCCCATAGGTGTTTTCAATCAGTGCCCCGACGCTCTATTTCTCAGCGATGGAACCTTGGGTTGTGCTCAGTGCCTTGCTTCACAATCGCTGCCTTGCTGGGTTTGCTGACTGCCACCCCACGCCCAGGGTCCAACCACTGTGGTCTTGTGTGCCCGGGATGCCACCGCTCTTTGTGCCGAGACCCCTCTCCACCCGGATGCCCGACTCCGCCCCTCCTACCCATCTGGATGAACGTGTCTATTTTAACTCCTTGGTTGTCCAACTTCCATACAGTTCAATTTTCTGTCAGTTCTGGTTGTTACTGTTTCTAAATTGTTGTTGTCCCTATCCTGGTTGTGTGAGGAAGCACAGTGTGTCTACCTACACCTCCATCTTGGCCAGAAGTCTGCTTTTTATTTTTTAATGAGGTAGTTTTACTTGAACAGAGGAGGACATAATACCAAATGGAAACACAATGATGAACAATATACAGAGTCCAGCATAGATAACGCCCCTTTTTTACTACAAAATCATAAGCATGTAATTCTGTAACATAACAACATCGCCCTCAAGCACACCACATGACATTTTAGGTGAAATGTTCAAATGAAAACTATAAATTATTACACCCATAGTATTACCCTACCAACCAACCACACTGAAGCAGGCCTTACTTCTACCGGACCCTGTAGTATGATGACATTTAGGAAAAACAAAACCTCCCAAAATTAGTCAAAGAAAAGGCCGTGGTGGATGCACATCAAACTGATAAAGTTACCTTTGGGGACAGGAGTGAGACTGAGGCCACAGTATCACCAAGGGGGGGGTGGGGAGGACTTTCACTTTAACTGTTTTGTGTGAAAATCTGTATGAGATTACCATATTTTGCTGTGTATAATGTGGCCCCATGTACAATGCGCACCCATGTTTTGGCCCAAACTTTCAGGAAAAAAAATCTTTTGTTTTCATTTTTTAATTCAAATTTTTATTTATTTATATTTAGAAACAAAACCAATGATCATATTCCAGGGTATTATTTTGCATAAGGATATCGTTATTGCTTTCTAGAGTTATACTTTTAATGCATACGCATAAAGGAATAAAAACATTTATATAGCTATAGAATTAGTACTACTCATGTATAATGCATATCCTTATTTTTCCCTCAAAAATTTGGGCAAAAAAGTGCACATTATACATGGCAAAATACAGTATATAGTGTTATTTAATAACTGACCAAAGGAAATATGTGAACCTAGATTGGATGCCTCTTCCTAGAGCTCTAAGAGTTATTTTGTGAATAAGTGGGGGAGTCTGAACATGCATATTGGACATTATTGTGGTTATGGAGGGTGTTGTTGTTTTTAGGAGCTGCTTGCTGAAGTATTTATGGGTAAAGTGTCAGGAAGCCTTCAGCTTTCAAATGGGAAAGAAATGAAAGAAGGGAAAGGAAGGGAGGAAAGAAGGAAGGTGAGAGAGAGGACAAGAAGGAATGGGAATGTGAGAGGAGGAAAGAAAGAAAGAAAAAAACAAATGTGAAAGCAAAATGATAACTAAGAATGTTAATCTAGTTGAAATGTATATGGGTGTTGAATGTCCGATTCTTCCAATTTTTTCCAGGTGTGAAAATGAGAGAGAGAGATAGTGGGTGTTGGATTCATTGAGGCCGAGTGCACAGGGGCCCAAGGAACTGATCCGGTCCTAGCCTGCCCGCCGGGCCTTGGTGCCCTCGGGGCTCCTCACGACCAGTGCCTCCTTCACCACCTTCACCTCCTTCATCACCTTCACCTCCTTCACCTGCAGCTGCTGCCCACACCGGGGCAGCTCAGGGCCCTTGGAAGTGACAAAACATCTGTGTCTCCCTGGTGCACAGCCTGCTCACAGGGGCCAGGGCACTGCTCCGAGGACTTCCGGCCAAGATGGAGGCATAGGTGGACGCACCGCACCTCCACGCACAACCAAGATAGGAACAATAACAATTTAGAAACAGAATAACATCCAGAACTGACAGAAAATTGATCTGAATGGAAGTCGGACAACCAAGAAGTTGAAATAGACCTGTGCATCCAGACCGGTAGGAGGGGCGGAGATGAGCAGCCAGGCACAGGTTGGGCACAGAGAGCAGACAGAGTTGGGACCGGGCGCGCATAAGGTATCTGGGGTGTGCAAGACCGTAGTGGGTGGACCCTGAGTGCACAAGCGGCAGCTGGCAGACCCCGGCCAAGGGGTGGCAACTGGCAGACCCAGTGAGGCGGCGATTGTAAAGCAAGGCATTGCTCACAACCCAGGATCCCAGTGCTGGGAAACAGAGCCTCGGGACACTGACTGAGGACACCTGTGGGAGTTGAGGCGCATGGAGAGACACCCAGCCTCACAGGGGAGGTCCTTGGAGGGTCCCACGGCATACACAAGCCCACCCACACAGGAATTGGCACCAGAGGAGCCCAGTTTGCTTGGGGGAAGCAGCAGAGGTCCCACGGAGAATGGAGCAACCGCCATTGTTCCCTCTCGACCTCGTCCCCACATACAATGTTACAACCCAGCCACTGGGGTGCCCTGCCCTGGTGAACACCTAAGGCTCTACCCCTTACTGTAACAGGTGTGACCAGACAAAAAAAAAAGAGAGAGATGGCTCAAACAGAAGAGCAAATCAAAGCCCCAGAACCCACCCTTTTAAGCGACTGAGAGATAGCCAACCTATCAGATGCACAGTTCAAAGCACTGATGATTAGGATGCTCACAGAATTGGTTGATTTTGGTCGCACATTAGATGAACAAGTGCAGGCTATGATAAGAGAAATAAAGGAAAATGCACAGGGAACCAATAGTGATGGGAAGGAAACTGGGACTCAAAACAATAGAGTGGACCAGAAGAAAGAAAGAAACAACCAAACAAAGAAGAATGGAGAAATAAGAATTCAAAAAAACGAGGAGAAGCTTAGGGACCTCCAGGACATCTTTAAATGTTCCAACATCCGAACTATAGGGGTACCAGAAGGAGAAGAGGAAGAGCCAGAAATTGAAAACTTATTTGAACAAATAATAAAGGAGAACTTCCCCATTCTGGCAAAGGAAACAGACTGTCAGCTGATTTCTCAAAAGAGACCTTACAGGAAAGAAGGCGCTGGAAAGAAGTATTCCAAGTCATGAAAGGCAAGGACCTACATCCAAGACTGCTCTATCCAGCAAAGCTTTCATTTAGAATGGAAGGGCAGATAAAGTGCTTCTCAGATAAGGTCAAGTTAAAGGAGTTCATCATCTCTAAGCCTTTATTTTATGAAATGTTAAAGGGACTTATCTAAGAAAAAGAAGATAAAAAACATGTACAGTAAAATGACAGCAAACTCACAATTATTAACAACCACACCTAAAACAAAACCAAAAACAAACTAAGCAAACAACTAGAACAGGAACAGAACCACAGAAATGGAGATCACATGGAGGGTTAGCAACAGGGGAGTGGGAGGAAGAGAGAGGGGGAAAGGGTACAGAGAATAAGTAGCATAGATGGTAGGTAGAAAATAGACAGGGGGAGGGCAAGAATAGTATGGGAAATGTAGAAGCTAAAGAACTTATGACACATGGACACGAACTAAAGGGGGGGAATGTGGGTGGGAGAGGGGGTGGAGGGGAATGGGGGGGGAATGGGACAGCTGTAATAGCATAATCAATAAAATATATTAAAAAAAAAAGAAAATGAGAGAGAGAGAAAGTCACCACCATTCTAGCTGGAAGTGATTAATTTCTCCCTTGAATTCTTATGACACTTAGCAATGTCACTCACATTACTAGTGATAACCTCTTAGAATGTGTCTAACTCCCTATAAGCCCCTGAAAGGTAGAGACATCCTTCAATTTTTTGTCCCCCTCAGCATGCCTAGCATGATGCCCAGCACAGAGCAGGTAGTGGTAAGAATGGGTAGAAGGTGGTTGGTGTGGCTCAGTGGATCAAGTGCTGGCCTGTGGACCAAAAGGTTGCCAGTTTGATTCCCAGTCAGGGCGCATGCCTGGGTTGTGGGGCAGGTCCCCAGTTGGAGGTGTGCGAGAGGCAACCACTCGATGTTTTTCTCCCTCCATTCTCCCCTCTCTAAAAATAAATACATATTAAAAAAAAAAGAAAAGAATGGGTAGGGTGTCAGGTTCACCTACGAAGCTGGCAAATACAAGTCAGGAACTGGAACTGCCCTATCAGCTCCAATGAGAAGCGGGACAGGTCTGTCTCCTGACCACTCAGGCTGGCCCCGCAGGGAGTCGCCCGGAGCTGGTGCCATGTCTCTCAGCTGGGACTACGGTCTGAGAGAGCTGTCGGAAACTGCCCAAAGGCTTTTAGGCTCGTACTCTGTAAACCGAAAAGTGGTAGAAAAGTAAAGTGCCCTAATAACCCTTTTTCTTGTGATCCTTACAAGGACCCTAAGAGAGATGTACTGTCTCCATTTGACAGATGAGGAAACAGGCTCAGAGAAGGGAAGTGACCTCTGCTAGGTCACCAAGAGAGGAAATGGCTCAATCTCATGTCTGCCAGTCTAAGGTGCTTTCCACTAGGCCACACTGCCCTCTCTGCGGCGACTCATAACCAGAAAGAAAAGACGCGCTTACCTGATTCAGTCTTGCTTGGTACTACATCTCCCCACACTGTGAGATCACCACGGGCAGCTTGGGCTTATTGTTGGGCCCCGTGGGAACATTCTAAGACAGAAAGCACAGTAAAAATCTATCCACTCAGCTAGCTGCACATGCTTCCCAAACATTACTGATGTCTGCCAGCCCCTGGGCTGAGGGATCAGGGGCTGAAATGACAACAGTCCATGTCCTAGCAGACAGGGAAAACACATAATACAGATCAAAAATACGATGTACATTTAAAAACATCAAAGCTATGATATGCAACAATGTAATAAGTTATAAGAAAATGTAAACAGAGCAGAGGAGGCAACTAAACATTGTTTAAAGCGGTCAGGGAAGGATTCACAGAACAGAGGATTGTTTGAGCTGGACTGAGGATAAATGGGAAGGAGGAAAAGAAAGGAGAAGAGCCCTCCACACAGAGAAAACAGCATGAGCAAAGGCTCAGGGGCAAGAAGGAACAAGAGGCAGTGATGTGTGAGAAAAGCTAGTAGCCTGGTACAACTGGAGGCAGCAGTGGCAGCAGGGCAGAGGCAGGCAGGGGCAGGTCACGAAGGATCTTGAATGCAGTGCTGAGTAGGAGTTTATCAAGCAGGTGGAGGGGCCACTCCAGACCATAGCTTGGTTTGCACTACGGAGGCTAATTATAGGCCAAAAACAATTGGGAGGCACGTGGTCTCCCCTCCCTTCCCTTGAGGAACTCCATGGAATGGAGGCAATGAATGAAGTCTGGGCCTAACAGACGAAGCCCACTCTAGGATTCTCTAGCTCTTGACCCTAGTCAGGTAGTACCAGACCAGAACAGCTGAGAAATAGGACTCACCTCAATCTTTCTCATCACTAGAAGTCCATCAATAATTTTCCCTGTAAGAAGAGTATGAGATGGATTTCACTATTCTCATTTGCATAACATTGTCCAGCTTTCAATGCTCATTCTCACACCATTGTCTCATTTGATCCTCACACCAATTCAGGAAATCAAGATTCAACGGAGGTGAAATGACTTACCCAAGGTCACAGATAGCACACTCAGTAGCAGAATTAGGCCTCAAACGTAGATCTGAGTGATTGCAAAGCCCCACTGCACCATATTCCCTCTGAGGTGTTTCTTAAGTGCCACCACCCTGGCTTTTCTCCCGAAATACATACATATCACCTGAGGGGTTATACACTTCACCAGATGGCTCCTTTGTCCTTCCACACATCTCCCCACCTCCCACCACTGTCACCTTCCCCCTATTATACAGAGTAGGTAAACTAGTCAGGGCCTCTTGGTGTGAGAGTGCAGGGAATGGCTCCTTTGGAAGTCCCACTTTGGGTGAATGGGGCCAGGACCATGGGAAAGGGGCAGGACTCACCAAACACTACGTGCTTCCCATCCAGCCAATCACACTTAGAGCAGGTGATGAAGAACTGGCAGCCATTTGTACTGGGACCACTGTTTGCCTGATGGAAACCAAATGCACCTGCAATGAGTTCTCCAGGCCACGCTGGCTGAAGAGTGAGACTCCCCAAAGAGCCTGCGGCCCTGATTCCTCCACACTTTCTTTCGGCAAAACTTACTGAGCACTCATTATGAGCAGGGGCCTGAGCTAGGACCCACGGATACAGAGATAAACTGGACACACAATCTCTGCCCTCAAGGAACTAGATCCTTGAATAAATGCACATTTCTCCTACAGTGTGAATTTTTATAATAGGAACGACTGTTTATGGGACCTGATTTGCTGTGTTTAGTCCAATACTAGTTATAACTGAATTACAATGACAGAGCATCTACTAGGCGAGGAAAGGTCTGCTGTCTATGCCATAAGCTGTTTTGTCTGACTGGCTTTGTGATATTAGAATGGTCATTTTAAAAAATTTAAGAAGGTGCAGGTTGCGAGTGCTATGCTAGAAATAAAGACTACATTTAGTCAAAGACATTTGCTTTTTACCACTATACCCAAATCCTTTGTTATTGAATTTTACAGGAAAAATATTTTTAAAAATAGAGAATCTGAAACTTTCTAGGCATAGCAATATCCCTTCCCTTTTCCTCCCTTAAAATTATTTTTACATCATTATAGTTAAACGCATTATAGTCATAACGCATTATAAAAGAACAGGCTGTAATCACAATGCAGAGTTGTGCTTTGTAAAGAGACATTTGACTTCCATACAAAGTGTACTTTTGTCCATCACATATTGACACCCCTGAACGGCCTTCAGTGTGCTAAATCTAGACTTTTGTATATCAGCAAACCCAAGTTTCAGCACCACTGTCTCACATCAATGTCAGTGTAACTACAAACATATTATGACACTTCCCCTATTTTGGAAAAACGTGAGTAGAAAATGGAAAACTGAAAGTACTAGTACTATCAAAAGCACAGGTCTTATAAAAACTATTACTGATGCAAAGCTGGAAATTATTGGATAGATAACTAGCCTTAATCAGGTATTAGATTGAAATTGGTTGATTCTGTGTTCAACTGTGAATAAAAACTTATGATATACTATAAAGACATTAAAGACAATGTCTAAGGGTAAGCTCTAATTAGGGATTTCATATTATACTTTAGCCAATTCCCCATGTAAGAGGAGATTATTTTTGTTTTTTTTTGTACATGTATTCAGGAACACCTCATATATGAAAATAAGGCATTGTCTGGGCCAGTCAGGACAGGCCTAGGCTTTGGAACGAGGCATAGGCCTCTCAGGGGTCCCGGTTCATCCTATCCACCCATCCATCCACCCACCCACCCATACATCCATCCATCCAATCTAGTTTGCTGCTCTATGTCTAAACATTTATTAGCAAGCAGACAGGAAAACAGCCACACGACATGTTTTCAGAGTTCAGGGGACACTCTCTGCCCTTAGCCACTCCTTTGTTCAATCTTCGAGGCAGTACAACTTACTGGTTCAGAGAATCCGTTGTGGAGCTCTGGAGCCAGGTGAGCTGGCGTGAATCCCAGCTCCACCACTGACTGCGCGCCCTGAGTTTAGTCCCATAACCTCTCTGTGCCTCTGTTTCCTCACTCATACCTATCTTAAAGATCTGGAAAAGCTTAAAATAAATATGCGAATAAGGTGCTTGTTGACTAAGTGCTCAATAAATGTTACCCATTATTCTGATCATCTTCCAGTCATTCATCAATATCTGCTTAACACCTTTCTGTATCAGGTATAGGGCTTAGAGATCAAAGAGACCCAGTCCCTGCTCCCAAAGAACATGTGATTTAGTGAAGACAGGAGCAAAAACAATCATGCCACCAAATACTGACAGCACAATTCAACCAGTGTCAGCCTGAAGGGAGCAATGACCAAGCTTCCTTCCATTTTTCTGACTCCCCCATCGATGCTAACATAGCGGCACACACTCAGAGCGGTTTTAATGCTCCTGGAGAAGATCCAAGCCAACCTAAGCCACTTTTCCACCCTTTACCTGTACTTCCCAGCCTGGCTTTCCTAAGAAGGGGCTTACTGTACTCCTGGTTCCACTCAGTTATTAGGGCAGCCTCCTAACTGGCTTCTCTGCCCCAGCCTCTCCATTCCCATGTGCCACTCACACTGCAGCTAGCATTTTTGTTCTAAAACACAAAGTGGATCAACTCTGCTCAAAAAGAGTACAGCTCTCCGTAACCTATGAGAGTCCGCACACCTCACCCTTGTTCTGCCATGTAAAGCCCTTCAGGAGCCAGACAACCTGCCTCTCCAGGGGTCTCTTACTGGCCAGTCCACTCCACCTGCCGTTCCCATCCTGTGTTCTTCTCAGCACCTTCCTCACTGTCTGTCCCCTGACTACGCCACATGCTCTCTGGTACAGAACTCTTTCAAAAACTCAAATGTGCCCTCCTCTGTGATGCAGCCTTGCCGACGCCCCAGCGGCAGTCATTCTCATTCCTTGGGGCCCTCACAGAGTTCTTACATACAGTAAGGTGTCCTTACCTTAATACACTGATTGCATGGGCTGCACTATACTAGACTTGTCGTTTTGCACGAGTGATACCCCCATCAGATGTTAAGTGACACAAGGACAGGAATCAGGTCTCATGCCTTACCATGGAGCCCGAAACAGAGAGGATATCAACAAATGTTTACTTGACGACTGCCTAAGTGGATAAGTGGTGGAGTGGGCAAGCAGGGCAGGGAACATGCACATAAATATTGGATCTGAGGGAGTGAGGGTTGGGGTGCTGACGGAAGGAAGTGGGTGATGAGCGGGAGGGAAGGAGGGAGGAGGTTAGAGAGAGGGAGAAGCGAGGTGGGAGGGGTAAGGGAAAACGAGGAGCCAGAGGTGGATAAGGGGAAGCGCAGGGGAATGAGCATGCAGGAGAGTGAGCAGGGGTAGGGTAGATGAGCGGTTTTAAGTGAGGTAGGCAGAGGGATTGTGAGAGAGGAGTGACCTGTGTGAGTGGGATTATAAATGGGGAGGGGCGTGCCAGGACAGGGGGTGGGAGTGGAGAGCAATGAGTGGGGAGTGAGTGAAAGGAGGTGACCAGCCAGTAGGCAGTGTGAGTAAATGGGCACTGAGCAGCGAGGCTAAATGCTCAGCCACATGATGTGGCTCAAATAAAGGGTAAAAAACACATAGCAGAGGTCAGTTTTAGTTCCCCTAACCAACAAAATCAAGCCAGACTGAAGAAAGATGTGGGCATGACAGAGGTGAGTCCTGGGCTGAGCAAGAGAAGAAAAGCATTTGCTTTCATCCAAAGAGACAGCGTTGAGCCTCACGAGGGGGCCAGAAACCAGCTGGTGATAAATCTAACTCAAAGTCTCGATTGGACCTCACTTACCATAGAAAGCAGGCCTGGAGCTGAGTGTCTAAGTTTAAAGTTTTCATCTGCAAATGGTCCCCGGTATATACTGGCAACTCCAGTACCATCTCCCTGAGCAGAAAGAAGAGAAGTATTAGCAACTCCCAGTGTTGGTCCCCCCAGAGGCCAAAAAAGACAGCTGTTGCACCTGGAGTCTAGTAAAGTCCACACTTGCTGATCACTTTGGGAGTCATACCTCTTTGACCCTATCTTGAAGTCAAAGTAAGCCCCATCCAAGGCACCAGTAGCTTACTACCTGGCCAGGTCTTCTCGTAGATTGGGTAAAAGAGGTCAGAGCTGCGCCTCTAGAAAGACAGGTTAAGATACAAAGCAGGGAACAGCACAGTGACCATATGCATAATCCTTGCCATTCTCAGACTCTCATGCCTGCAGTCATATAAAAGTACCCACCTAACTGACTGCTACCCTAACCCACCTCCCAAACTATGTGGTGGGTGAGCTGTTGGAAACCTAGTGTGCACCACACGATACCACTCTCCTGGCCAAAGCTGATTCGTCCAGGGGAGAACTCTATTTCCCAATAAACCTAGGGGACAGATCAGTTACCATATCACCCTCTGTGATCACATTAGCTATTGCTCTCCAGAAGCCAGAGTAGGAAAAATGACAAAAATTAATTTTCAGAGCAAACATCAGAAAGCAACTTAAATTTTCAACAATAGTGGGTTGATCAAATAAATTCACTGTCTGTTATTATGGAATATAAGTTAACTATTAGAAAGTGTTTTTGGAAGAAGACTTAATAACAAGGAAAAATGCAAACAATTACTAAGTACAAAAAAATTAAAACATATGTATGATCTGCCCTAGCTGGTGTGGCTCAGTGGACTGAGTGCTGGCCTGCAAACCAAAAGGTCACTTGTTCGATTCCCAGTCAGGGCACATGTCTGGGTTGCAGGCCAGCTGAGGACAAATGAGAGGTGGCTGGTCAATTGATGTATCTCTTACACATTGATGTTTCTCTTCCTTTCTTTCTCCCTCTCTTCCCCTCTCTCTAAAAATAAAATAAAATCTTCAAAAAATCCAAACATATGTATGATTTAAGTCTGTTAAAAGTCGTAGTCAACACACGTACATTTGCAAAGACTGGCAGCTGTAAACTAAAATGACAAGAGTCATTCAAGAGAGAAAACATCCCTCCAGAACCGCCTACCTCTCTTGCTGATTCCTTGTATCCTAATCAACTTATGATTATAAACTCAGGCCCTGTGATACCAGGAATGGAAAGGAAAATGGAGCATAAGCATTTAGCTCACTGAAGAGACTTACTACTATTTAGTTAAAACAAGTTGCATCTGATTTCTAGCTGAGTTTCACAGAATTAATTTGGATCTGCCATGGATCCTCTGTAGCACAGGTGGCAGACACAAGGCCCATGGGCTGAATCTGGCCCTCTATCTTGTTTTACCCTGCCTAGCACCTTATTTCTACCTGGCGGCAGAGCTGGGCTCCTTGCCCCTAGTGAAGGGTAGTTACATTTATACAGTCCTAAAATCACATTGGCCCTTTGAAGGCAACCTTGAGGCTGATGAGGCCCCTGGTAAAAATGAGTTTGACAGCCCTGCTCTACAGGTATGTTGGAAAACGTCCATTTCTGGCCCTGAAAGGCTGAGACTTGGAAGCTAGTGACTCCATCAAAGTGCTGATGTGTCACCTAGTGGTACAGTGAGTGGCAGCCAGAAACATTCAAGGGCATTCCCATCCCCCTCTCCTCCCCGCATCAAGTCTGGCTATTGTTCTCAAGCCTTAGGACTGGGTCCCTGTAGTAAAAATAGTAGCAACAGCAATAACAAGAAGAAAAAAAAGAAAGAAAAGGAAAGAAAGGAAAGAGAGAGAGAGAGAGAGAGAGAGAGAGAGAGAGAGAAAGAGAGAGAGAAAAGAAAGAAAAGGAAGGAAAAGAAAAGAAAAGAAAAGAAAAGAAAGATTCTAAAGCTTTGATAGGAAAGGAACTACTTACATTAACAAAATCTCCACCCTGTATCATGAAATCCTTTATGACCCTAAAACAGAGAACAAAGGATTGTGAGATAAGACTCCGGTTTAGAAAAACATTGATTTAGTCATTGTAGTTTAATTAACATTGATTTCAAAATACAATGTTTATCATTTGGGCTTTTAAGAAATCTTCAAATCAATCCTTGAGTTCACAAAAACATTCCTTCTCAAGAACCAAGAATTATCCTATGGTTTTACTTTCCTCTAGAAACTAATCCCCCAAGAAGGTAATTCTAGAAGCCCCAAGTGGTTTGTCTTGGCCTTACCTGTGGAAAGTGCTTCCTTTGTATCCTATAGGAACCCCATCTTTCCTACAGCCAAACGGAAAGAAATTTGCTATGATGACAGGTAACAATAAGCCTTTCCAGTTTATCACATATCTGAGCCCAAGTGATTTTCCTAAAGATGGTCAGGACAAGAGAGATGAAGAAAGAAGGCAAATGAATACCCTCGAGATAATACATTCTATTATTGTCACCAGCAATCACTCAAGGCCTATGGTGGTCCCCCAGTGCCCTCAGTGCAGCCCCAGGACACCCCTCAGGAACAAGCAGATAAGTCAACCACGTCTAAGACTGACCTGAATTCTCCAGTGCAGAACTGCCTGAAAGGGAAGAGAGGGACTCAGTCACCATGACATCACAGTTGTGAGTGCCCCTAACCTTCAGAGGGGAGAGCACAGACATTGCAGACAGCAAGCCCACCAACTGGCCAGCTAGACGTCCAGGCCCCCAGGCATGCAAATTAACAACATAAATTGACATGGGGGTGTCAAAACGTGACTGTTCAGACAGCAACACCCAGAAGAATCAGATCTCAAGGGCAGTAAGTGGACGGACAGAGGGAGGCTGACGGTTCTACAGGATGAGTTCTGGTTCGGTTAATCCGGCAAAACTGGAATATATAATCCGGCAGAGCTGGAACACCTTACCTAAAGTTCTCGGCTGTTTTAGGCACAACGTCTGCGAAGAGCTCGATCTTCATACGGCCAACTTCCTGCAACCGGCGGGAGACAGTCAGAAGGCTCAGTCCAAGACCGTGAAGGTCTCTCGGAGCAGGGACCTTGAAGGGCTGATTCCTCCCTTCCACATGTACTAGATCTCTCCCACCTCCGCCTCCTTAGCCTATCCTTCCGTTCCGTCCAGACCTTCCCCTCGCGGGGCTCTAGGATGGGAGAGAGGAGGAGCAAGACCCTCCATTCTATTCCCGCTCACCACGTCCCACAGGTCGCTAGGTTCTGGACCAAATTCACTTTCTAGTTTCCCAAGTCCGCTATCCCTGGGCGGGTGAGTTCTGCCTGCCTGGCCCCTTGCAGTTTCCCTTCGGTGCATGGCTGGGTGGCTTCCTGGACCTCACCTGGCCACCAATGCTGACATCAAAAAACACCACAGGGTTGACAGGGCTTGAATTTGCCACCGCCATGGCTCCGACCCGGAAGCAGAAGTCAGGAGAGCGAGGTTCCGGCGAACCTAACACCGACCCCGGGGTTTGGTTTCCTGCGCAGGCGCGGCAAGAGGCTACCGAGACTGGGACCCGCCCCCGGAAGCCCCGCCACACCTCCGCCCCGCCCTCAGTGCGGAAAGTTCACAGATTTCCGCGTGGAAACTGAGAGATGCTGCGGTGGCCAGGGCTTGATTCGGTGGTGGCCGTGAGACATCTGCAAGCCCCTGGTTCACTCGACTTTCCCGGGAAACGAGAGAGGGGAGCTGCGGCTGGAGGGAGGGCGCGGGGGATGTGGTGAAAGTGGAGGATATGAGGAAGAGGAGGAATACCTGGATAGTTTTTTTTTTCTTTTTCTTTTTTTCAGAATGAAGGGACATCCCACTCACGTAACCCCACTAAGTAGAAATTATTCTCGCTCAGGCTAGGAAGTTTGTACTAAGCAGTCTCCAGGTTACTCATCAGCTCTTGCAGCTAATATATCTGAACCATCACACCCTGCTGCTTCTTAGCCCTCCCCACTAGTCAGCCCCAGAAGGCATGAACTCTTGCTCTTCCTCTGAGCTTAGAACAGCCAGGCACATAAGGTATGCTCAGCAAATACTCAGCCCTTTTTTGAAATCAGTAAAATTTTTGTTCCAGTTCTGTCAAAAGCTTCCAATTTTGTCACTTCCAATTCATTTCAAGCAGAGTAGCTAGAGCTTTTAAAATAAATCTTATAAATCACTCCCGGCTTCCCTATGTAGAATAAAATCCAATTGCTTACCTACTGAGGACTACATTGCATTATCTGGCAGCCTCATCTTGGCTTAATCTAGTGTTATTGGGTTGGCCAAAAAGTCTGTTCAGTTTTTTTTTCTGTAAAATAAAAGACATTTTTCATTTTCACCAATAACATTATTGATTTGGATATTTTGAGTATGTTGGCTATCTCCCACTATTGGCTTCTAGTGGGTCAAGGCCAGGGGTGCTGCTAAACATCTTCCGACGCAAAAAAACTTGGCCAAAACGTCAATAGTAACAAGAATCTTCACAAACCACTTTTTATAAAAAGATTTTATTTATTTATTTATTTATTTATTTTTAGAGAGGGGAAGAGGGGGAGAAAGAGGGAGAAACATCAATGTGTGGTTGCCTCTCCTGCGCCCCCAACTGGGGACCTGGCCTGAAATCCAGGCATGTGCCCTGACTGGGAATCAAACCAATGACCCTTTGTTTCACAGGCTGGCACTCAATCCACTGATCCACACCAGCCAGGGCCACAAACCACTTTTGACACGTTTGCACCTTCTCTATATACTGCATAATTTTTTTTATGTTTCAGTTGCATTTTTACTTTTTTTAAAATAATAAAGCATAATATACCAAAAATGTTGCATATTTTCTTCCATTTTTGATATTAAAATGGCTGTACAAGAATTCACTAATTTTGATGGTTTCAAAATGCATGCTGATTGACAGCTGTCACAATACAATCTAACAAAATTGTTTCAAATGAAGTTAAAGACAACTATGCACTATTAGAATCATAGAGAGAAAACCAAGTGAACTTTTTGGCCAACCCAATACTTGTCCTCAGCTACTATACTGAGGACTTTCTGTTCCTCAGCGTCATGAATGGATACATCAGCTCCCTCTTATCTGAGTTTTCACCTTCCTCTTTTTGGTCGACTGCCTTCAACCTACAGTCTGACAGTTGATCTGGTAAGAAGACTTCTACTAAGTGACTAATGGGTAGGTAGCATATAGATCGTGAATATTTATATTAATTAAAAATAGTAAATGAAAATCTTCAGAAATAAGCAATTCATAAGTTTTAAATTGCACACTTAGGATGTGAATCATCCCTTTGTCTAGCACATCCATACTGTATATGCTACCTGCCCATTAGTCACCTAGTAGGTGTCTTGGCTATCAGATCAACTGTCAGGGTATCACAGTGCTTGTGTTCCAGCTGTGATATGAGGCCTATGCTATTCACCCTGCTTCATCTTATCACATAGGCATTGCACTGTCTCACATCATTACAAGAAGGGTGAGTACAGTACAAGATATTTTGAGACCACCTGCACATAACTTTCATTACAGTATATTGTTATAATTGTTCTATTTTATTACTACTGTTAATGTCTTACTGTGCCTTATTTATCACAGGTGTGTATGTCTAGGAGAACATAGTATACTTGTATACAGGGTTCAGTACCATTTGTGGTTTCAGGCATCCACTGGGGGTTTTGGACTATATTCTCCTCAGATAAGGGGGACTTCTGTACTCTTTTAAGAGCCTTGGTACTAGCTGTTAACTGTCTTTAATACTCTTCTAGATCTTAATGGGACGGGGAATGTTCCTTGTAGTTCAGGTCTTGGCTCAGATGTCACTCAGATGGGAACATTGCACCCAATCTAAAGTAGCCCTCAGTCACTTATTCAGGTACATCAGTGATTTCTTTTCTTCATGCCACCCATCATCCAAAATTATATGGTCAGTTTCTCTACCTCACCCTCTGCCACATAAACATATACCTTCCACACTAATTGTATATTAATTATGAAAGCAGAGACTTTGTGTTTTCACAGGTATGGCTACAGTGCCGAGTATTGAATAGCACACAGTAGGGGTTCAATAAATGGGGTCAGTAAATCGAGTGAAAGAAAGGGAATGTGGGCAGGTTTGGAGTCAGAGCGTGCATTCAGTATCACAGCTATGATTTTCTATAACCTTTGACCATCTCCAGCAGTCTGAGGAGGCAGGGCTTGCATGTAAAAATTCAGTATGTTTCAACTTATGGGGTCTCTTTTATTCCTGTTCTTCCCCCCATCCCCTTGGTCTCCCTCTCTATCTCCAACTGAAGATGGAGAAAGAAGAGAAGGAGGATAAGGAAGGAAAAGAGGAAGGGGAGAAGGAGCAGCAGGAATCATCCTTCAGTATAGTTTTATGCCAACTATTTTAGAATACATTTTCTAATTGATAATATATACTGTTGATGAGACTGTAGAAAAACTAGTACACTCAAACTGCAAGTGAAAATAAATAAAGATATCTAGCATTGGTTAAGCAGTTACTCAGTGCAAAATGCATGCTTCATTTTGTTTGGTCCTCACAACTCTATGGGATAGGAACTACTGTTGTTCCCATTGTATGTATCGAGAGATTGAGGCTCATAAGGTGACTGTAGAAACAGTGTGTTGACACGAGCTTTTTTAAAGCAATGAGACAAGTGTGTACCCAAACCATGTAACATTTATATCCTTTGACCCAATTATGCCAATCTTCTGAATTTGTTTTCTGGATTAACTTAAGAAAAGAAAATAGTTAACTTCACAAAGACTTTCACTGCAACATAATCTATAAATAGTGAAAATGTAGGAACAACTTGGATGTCAAATAAGAAGAGAATGTGTAGAACATCAACACGATACAATATCACATGGCTATTGAAAGAATAATTATGGAGAGTTTAAATATGAGAGAGTGTTTTGCAGTATATTAAATTAAAAATCAGACTATGAAAATACAATATAATAACCAATTAAAATATGTGAATTTGAGTAAGAACCAGAAGGGAATAACTCCAAAAGGGAACAGTACTGTTAAGAATGTGGGTTTATAGGGCAGTTTTTTCTTTTTAAAATATTTGCTTTAATGTGATTACATTGTTTTAACTTAAAAAAAAAAAGAAAATACCCATGAAAATAGGAAAGGATGTGGAACTAACCATGTGTGTGTTCTGCTGAACATAAACCCAATTAAACCACCCAACTTAAGTCACTGTGTTGCTCAGTACAATCACTTGAGGATATCAAACAAACTTGAGAAATCAATTTTTGGATCTGGTTTAATGAATTTATCAGCAATTTTCGAGGTTCCTGCTTGATGACATGACCAGTGGGGAATCCATCATTACCCTGCTCTGTGTCGTCATGTTCCACCTTCGCACTCATGGGCTTGAAGTTAGCAGCTTTGGCCAGTCTGGTTTTAGAGGTGACGTGTCTCTTTCAGAGAAGCCACGTATTTGTATGCATCCGGCTTCAGGATTCTGTGAACAGTAGAGACTCAAGGGGCCTGGGGTGTGCCACTGCTTCGGACATATGTTCTTTAGTCTCTTACAGACTTCCAACGGACTCCACCAAACCTGTTCCAGAAAGACTGAAAAAGCACACGTGTGAGGACTTCGCGTGGATGGGGTCTCTTGGCAGCATTTTGGGGTCACAGGGTTGAGGCTCAATAGGATTTCAGTTTGAACAACTGTCAAACACAAAACAGCCAAATAAAATCACCTTAAATTTATGTTTGTGGGTTATCTTCTGCTGTGAGTCAGAGTTCTGTCAGGTGTGGGTGTGAAGCAGTGGTGAGGGGAGAAGGCACTGGAAGGTTTTAGTACTATAGAGAGAGAAAAGTACCCCTGAATGCTATGCTTTGCCAAGTCAGCAACTCACGCCTGGTTAGGCAGCCCTGACTCCCAGCTGTTCAGATGATTGTCTTGACTTACTGACCTGGAGTTTGGTAGGGGCAGGATTTTATTCAGTACTTCATATTCAGAGATGCCACTAAGTATTGTTTCCTGAAAGGAAAAATAAAGCATGAATTTAAAAAAAAAATTAATGATAAACCATTGTCATTGTGATCCTAGAACTGTGCTTTACATATTTTTTGATGAAAAATGTAATGTTAGAAGGACTATCATAAAGGCGGGGGAGAGAGAGGTAATAAATGCTGGTGAGGGTGTGGAGAAAAGGGAACCCTCGGGCACTACTGGTGAGAATATAAATTGGTACAGCTACTGTGGAAAACAGTATGGAGGTTCCTCAAGAAATTAAAAATAGAACTACCTTATGATTCAGCAATTCGACTTCTGGGTATTTATCTAAAGGAAACAAAATCACTATCCTGAAGATGTATCTACACCCCATGTTCACTGCAGCATTATTTACAATAGCCAAGACATGGAAACAACCCAAGCATGCACTATGGAGGAATGGATAAAGAAATTGTTAAACACACACAATATAGACTATTAGTCAGCCCCAAAAGAAGAAGGAAATCCTGCCACTTGTGATGACCTGGATAAACCTTAAGGACAGTATGCTAAGTGGATTAAGTCATACAGAGAAAGAAAATACCATATGATCCCACTTATATGTGGAATCTACAAAAACTCCTACAGGCATAGATAAAGTCTGTGGTTGCTAGAGGTAGGGGGTGGGGGAATTAGGTCAGGATAGTTAAAAGATACACACTTCCAGTTATAAGATAAGTAATTTCTGGGAGGTAATGTACGATATGGCGACTATCATTAACAATACTGTATATTTGTGTGTTTGAAAGTTGTTGAGAGTATATCTTAAAGTTTTTTAAAAAGATTTTATTTATTTATTTGTATAGAGAGGGGAAAGGAGGCAGAAAGAGAGAGAGAGAGAAACATAAATGTGCAAGAGAAACATCCATTGGTTGCCTCTCACATGCCCCCAGTTGGGGACCTGGCCCGAAACCCAGGCATGTGCCCTGACAGAATTGAAACTGCGACCTTTCAGTTCACAGACGGGCCCTCAATCCACTGAGCCACACCAGCCAGGGCTTAAAGTTTTCATGACTGGGGAAAAAATTGTAAGTATTCTGGGAAGAAACATCTAGCATGTGATACAATCGGGGAAGAAAGCAAACAGCCTCTATCCTGGATTTAAAATGCAACTCTGCTCACTGAAGTTCCTCTTGCTGACTCACTCACCAACCAGACTCTTGGCCTTGTCTGAACTCAGACTACTTGTCTGCTTGGATTTTTGTAACATAATTGCTTTTTCTTCTGACTCAGATATTCTCCTTAGGTTTGATTCTGCCAGACCAGACTAGCTTCACCTTACCTCTCTGAACTTCAAATGGGCTCATCTCTCAAATTGGGCTGGAAAAACCCATGGCAAACAGGTTGTTGAGAATGAGGCTTACGTGTGAAAACATTTAACATTCATTCATTCTCAAATACTTATGGATCAGCTGTGCATAGACACAACAACACATGAGATACGATCCTGCCCTCTGGGACTCACCACTGAGTTGATTAGACAGAGAAGTAAAAAGGCAGTGACCATACAGTGTGTTAAGGAAGAAGTTATGAGGCATACACAAATGGATCTGGGACCACACAGAAGAAAAATGCTTAATAAAAGATGACCCAATGAAGAGCAAAGCTGGCCAAGAGCACACTCAGGGTCTGCCACCCTATGTGCAGCCACTGAGCCTGTTTGCCACAGTCCACCATGAGGCCAAGTTCAGGCCACAGCTGTATGAAGAAGATGAAGGGAAGAGAGAATGGAGCAATCTTAGCAATCTAAATTTCATATTAAACACCTAACAGGAAGCACGCATCTTACCTCTCCTCTGCAAATCTGGATGCTTCTTACAATGCGCTCCAAGAGGCCAACCTGCTCTGTGAGCCGGAGACTGTTTTCCTGTAATTGCTTATTTTCTTTATCCAGAGAAAGTACTCTAAGAATGGGATAAATCAGAGGAATGACTACAAGTTTCTACATTATTACTAAAAAACTCAAAACTATGTCCCACATCCCACTAGCTCTGGGTTTTAGCCTACTGTCCACCATTTAGAACTGACTTTGGCAGACCAGGTAAAAATTAATAAGCTTCTGGCCCATACAGAGTCATTCAATACCTACTGAGAACAGAGACATACTGTGCACAAGCGAATGAAGGAATAGTTCTAGACCCTTGAGTCACTTAAGGAAGGATATGATCCCATTTAGGGGTGGAGCTGGAAAAAGAGGCTGTATTTGAACAGACATTGCATCCATTCAAATACAGCCACTACACAGCCTGCGCCAGATTCTGACCTCAGCCAGGCATCCCATACATCAGCAGCGGCAGCAACCACTGACCGAGCACTTACTGTCTGCTAAGACATGTAACCTCGCCACACAGAAAGCACTTCAAACTTTTCATGCAGTGGCTCATTTAATCCTCACAACAGCCCCATAAAATAGATATTGTTGTGAAGCCTATTTTACAGACGAGGAAACTGAAGCTCAGAGAGAGGGAAGTAACTTGTGTAAGAAGATCAAACCAGAAAGTTGGGGGGCTGGGATGCCCACCCAGAACTTCCAGATTTCTAAACCCCGAGCGCCTGACTGCTACAGCAGCCCACTCTCCAGGGCTACAGTTTATGCGGGACACGTCACAGCACAGTAGTTTCGATCAGAAGTTTGTGTTTGACATCTGGTCCTGCCACTAACTAGCTGTGTGACCTTGGCAAATGACTAAGTCTGAGCCTGTTTCCTCATCTGTGAAATGAGGAAACATCCTGTAGAAGAAACTTACTCTAGGGAAAACGTAAGTCAAATTCTGGTGACCAGAGTGTGTGTTTAGGAGGCCAAGGCAGGAACATTATTAATGTTAGGGCAAGGGTAACGAGTCAATTGTGTTGCGACTGCCAGAAGCAGTGGTGTAGTTTGATAAGGGCAATGAATTATATAGAATATATCAAAGGGGAGATACAGATAGTAAAGGTCCATTGGAGACCCTCCAGGCCTGCCCAGAGGAGCATGTGCCCAAATCAGTGGAAAGCAAAGTTCCAGTCTGCTTGGCAGCTCTCTCCCCAGACTGCAGTGCCGTGGGGTCTCGGATCGGGCTACTGAGGTTCGTGTGCTGCTGAGACACTGATGAGGCTGGGTGAGGTCCCTAACCGATCTGGACCTCAGCTTCTCACCCATAAAATAAGGCTGTGATAGTGTCTCCTGCCTGGGAGGTGTGAAAATTAAATGAATATTTGTACAGAGAACTTAGAACAGTGCCTAGCATATAGTAAATGCTCAAAAAAGTGTTAATTACTACAGGCACTATTGGTGATACTGTTTGTTAAAATCAACTCATTCTCTTTGCTCTAATTCTGTGCTCTGAGAAAACTTTTGATTATAATTAAAGTTCCCTATAAGGGAGAGAATGCTTGTTGGGCTAGCTGATGTGTGAATTCTTACCTGCTGGGAATGTTTTCCTTACAAATGAATGCATTGGGATCCTGTGGGTTTTGTGAATTTAAGTCCCTAGTATGAACCTGATTCTCTCTTGGTCTACCTTGATTCCAAAGGTATAAAATGATAAAAATGAGTGTCAGCACACATAGTGATAGGCCAGAATGAGTCCAGCCGGGTCCTCAAGGAGGTGACACTGCCGTGAAAGAGCCGACCAGAATGGCCAGCCCACCTTCTCCATGATATTTTTCCCTCTAACTTCACAACTTCTGCCATTTGTATGGACTGCTGAAAACAGTGGTGGCAGAGCAACAGTTATGAGATAGGCCCCAAGCTCAAAGGACAGTCTCTGGAACCATCTGTCTCTTTGCTGAGGGAGAGACATCTCATTTGCAGTTCACGGGCTACTCTGGCAGGACCGCACCCACCTGTGCTGGACCGAAGATATCATGCACTTGTTGTCATGGATCACTTTTTCCTGCTCCACGAGCTGCTCCAGAAGTTTTCTGTTTTCTAGGAACAGGTTATCATTTTGGGCAGTGATCTGGTCCTGGAATGCCTTCTCCTAAGGACGAAAGCAAAAGCCCCCTAGTTACCATGGCAGGAGAAATGATAAATTTAAGAACATCAGCCTGTTTATAACTCCGATAGCAAATTTCCCTTATTTATTTTTTTCTCCCCGGTCATCCAGGCTGTTTTCACCTGTTTGCTGACATTGTCAGTTAGATTGTTCTTCTATATATTTTGGTTACTTATGTCATGTACTTTGTTTGGATAATTACTCATTCTTTTAGGTTAACATTTAAAAATATCTGCGCACTCAACTTCTAATAAGGTCCCAATGATCTCATCTGTATTCATACCCCAAATCACTGACAAATACAACAGAATTCTCTGAAGCTCTATATTGAAAAAAAATTCCACGCAATATATTTTCATATACTTCACAGTTGCAGTTCTTTTTGAGGCAGGGAGAGGAGAATGGGAATTCAGCTCCCTGACTTGGCAGCCGGTGTTGGGATATCAGGGGGCTTAGCAAGCCAAGCATTGCAGCCAGGCACTGACAGGATTCTTGCAATGAAGATGCTAACACAGTTTCTAGCTGGACTCCATGTTTCATTTTCTACCAACAGTTTCCCCTGAATGCAACAGCTAGTGAACTTAGATCTAAAATGATAAAGGAGTGTATTTTGTGGAAAAATAACCCACTAATATTCTTATAGTGAATCAGTAGATATTAGTAAATATCACTGTTATTGAGGTAGAAGCTCAGGATTGTTGAATTCTCCTCCTCATTTAACCGGTGGCCCGTCAGCGGCAGCAAGCGGGTGCTCTCACGGTTTCCTGAGTGCTCCTCACCTGCCAGCGGTGGGAGGGCGTGGGGGCAGGGAAAGAGAATGACCTCTGGCAGAGGGGTTAATCACAGGGTTGAGGTGGCCAGTTTTCTGTCTTTGAAACAATATACTGCTATAGAGCATGCAGAAAAGACTGCCCATACATGTGGAATCTCAAATTAAAAAAAAAAAGACTCAGATACAGAGAACGAACGGTGGTTGCCAGAGACAAGGGATGGAGGGTGGGCAAAACGGGTGCAGGGAACCAAAAGGTACAAAGTTCCAGTTACAAAGTAAATAAGTCACGAGGATGTCATGCACCTCATGGAGACTATAGATAGTAATACTATATTTTACATTTGAAAGTCTCTAAGAGCAAATTTGTAAACTTTCTTATCACAAGAAAAAAATTTATAACCGTGTATGGTGATGGGTGTTAACTAGACTTATTGCAGGGACCATTTTGTAATATATACAAAATATAGAATCATTATGTTGTACAACTAAAACTAATATAATTTTACAAGTCAATTATATATCAAAAAGAAAGAAAAAAGGAAAGAAAAAGAAACCATCCATCAGAGTTACAAGGAAGGAGATTACATCATGTTCTGAAACAAACCATTCCAGATTTTAAAGTCTTTCATCCAAGACCCTTCAATGTCTAACGAGAGTCTCCCCTGGTATTATTCAAATATATTAATGGTAAGCATTGAGAATAGAAGGGGCATCCCACAAGGAATCCTCTATAAAGTTGTAACTGAATTAGAAAGGAAATTGAATGGGCAGGCTACTGACACCTTGGTCTTTGGAAATACCATATTTCTTTGAACTCAAAAATAAGGACACCTGTCCTAATAAGGATAAAATCATTGGGGTAATCTGGTTTGGATGGTCACAACAGTCAGAGAACTCAACCAGCTCACTGCATGTAGAGAAAACTAAAGAATGAAGCCAAAACAAACAAACAAAAACCTGGCATTATCTTCTGGAGACATGGTGCTTAGTGAGCCCAGCTTTCCCATGCTCAGGACTCTGGTCCATGGGCTCTAAAGTAAGTAAGGTCTGATCCACCTGGTTTGCACACTGTGGGTCTTCTCTAAGCTATTTCCAATCTCAGTAGCAATTTCTCTTGTGAACTATGTATCCACTGATTCACATGCTTCTGAGAGATTTAATGCCAAAAAGAAAGCTATAGAAGTTTATGTTCCAGGAACCACTTTAGGCATTTCATAGTTTAATCTTCACAAAAGCATGGTGAAATAGGGATTATTTCCCCTATTTCGTGGGTGAGGAAAATGACACACAGGTCCTATTAAATGGCAGTGCTAGATTTCTGCATTTCAGTCTGTCTAAGACCAAAGCCCACAGTACACTTAATGGCAGCAAGTGGAAGGTCCAATTACTCTTTCTTAGTTTCTGCATATTTTCGACCTTCAATATCTTTCATGGAGACCAGTGATTCTTTGGGTAAATGTATTCATTTCCTAGGGCTGCCATTACAAATTACTATAAATTAGGAGGACTAAAACAACAGGGATTTATTTTTCTCATAGTCTGGAGACTAGAGATCTAAAATCAAAATGCTGGGCCCTGGCCAGGTAGCTCAGTTGGTTAGGGAGTTGCCACAATACACCAAGGTTATGGTTTAATCCCCAGTCAGGGCACATACAGGCATCAACCAATAAATGCATAAATAAGTATAAGAAAAGATCAATGTTTCTCCATTTCTCTAAAAAAAATCAATAAATAAAAATTTAAAATAATTGTTGGCAGGGTTAGTTTCTCCTGGGGGCTCTGAGGGAGAATTTGTTCTATGCCCCTTTTCTAGCTGGTGGTTGCTAGCGATCCTTGGGGTCCCTTGGCCTGTAGCTTTGGCACTCCATTCTCTGCCTCCACTGTCACGTGGCCTTCCTCCCCTGTGCATGTCTGTGTCTTCTCTTTTTATAAGGACGCTAGTCATACTGGATTTAGATAGAGTTCACCAAATTGTGTGTAATAGAGGGATTCCTAACCTAGAGTCCCATAATAGCCCGTGGAACAACTGGAATGGCATGAATTATTTTGGTATCCTTGGCACAGAGAGGTGGTAGTATAAAAATGTGTTGGGTACACAAAAGAGTACTTTAGGAGTGAGGACAGAGTTTTCAAAATTCTGAAATCGGCTAGGGATTTCAAGAAGGAAATGCATTACTGGCTGAGTCTGTTGCTCTCCATTTTGAATTTATGTAGTTTAATAATCTCAACAGCATTCTGCATTGCATTCTACCCATGTGTAGACACATACCAGTAAGTCACAATGGCATAAGGCAGACATAAAGAAATGATGGATATTTAGAAATAAGCCTGAAGGCTCTAGTTAAGAATTGATAAAGGAATAGGGATCACCTATATTTGCTGCCATTTAAAACTGACAAATGTTTGAGGCAAAATGAGGGCTTATAAAAAGTAGGAATGAGTTACTGATGGTGCTGTGGAAGTCTTTGCTGAAGGGTGTTTAAGAAAAGATATTTTCCCATGAAGGCAAGACACTAATTATAAGCTGGCAGTGCAGAGTATAACCAGAGCCCAGTTTGGTTTAGCATTGTTGTGAGTCTTAAATCCTTTATGGCGGGGCTTAAACAATTATGCACACTGAAAAAAGGCACAAAGACATAAACAATGGGTTAAGAAGAGGCCACAAATAAATTTAAAAAATGAGCGGGCTTTCTCTATGTGACTGACTATTGGCATCATCAGTGAGCTCTTCACCTTTTTGTTTCTCACCTTTTCTAATTTTTGCCGAAGTATTCCAGTTTCATTTTCAAGTAGGTTAATTCTCTTATCGCGTAGCTCTACTTCATGAATGAAATGACTCTTGACTCTGTGAAGCTTGGTTTTGTGATGATGACATTTTTTATTATAGTTTCTGCAAAAATAAATTTAAATACAGGCACACCTGAACAGTGAAAATTTATTTTGCTTCCTCCACATGCACCTTTCTTGGGTGTCCTCTTCTTGCTTTGTCAGGGCCTGGCACCCGATGGGGATAACCTCCTAGTGAACACCAGCTTTTAGTCATTGCCATGGGCTCGAGTCTCTGGCTCATCTTGGTTTTGAGCTGATGAGTGTAGCATAGCTTTAGCAACCAAGTTTAATTTTGGAAACTCATTGACTTCTGATCCTTGCTCTGCTGATTCAGTTGTTAATTTTAAGTTTTCTGTTTCTTGGCTATACCCTTGTATAGTAATATAACCCACTTCAATCTTGTCTATTTTCCAGATAACTGGGTCTGTTCTCGGTCCTCGCCTTGGGTCTAGACTTGTAAATGTCAATTCTACATAGGTCTCTACTCTGATTCTGACATAAATCTGACTTACTGCCAATAAGCACATGAAAAGATGTTCAACTTTATGAGCTACTAACAAAATGCAAATGGAAACTACAAATGAGATACAACTTCACACCCACTAGGGTGGCTAAAATAAAAAGGAAGATAATAAGGAGTGCTGACAAGGATGTGGAGAGATTGGACCTCTCATACACTGCTGGTAGGAAGTCGGGTGGTACAGCGTCTTTGGAAAAAGCCTGGCAGCTCCTCAAATGGTTAAACACTGAGTCACATGACCCAGCAATTCCACTCCTAGAGAAATTCCAAGAGAAATGAAAACACATGTCCACACAAAAACTTGTATTTGAATGTTCATAGTAACACTATTCACAATAGCCAAAAGGTGGAAACAACCCACATTTCCATCAACTAATGAATAAATAAACAACATGCAGCATATACATGCAATGGAATATTATTAGCCTTAAAAAGGAAATTTTGAAGAAGATGGCAGCCAAGTAGGTGGGAGCTGAGTCCATTTGCTCTTGCCCCCAACTCATATATTTGGCTGATCTTCAAAAAAATAAACTGAACATTCAACAGAATCTTAGTTGATAGGAAGTTTGGAAGCCAAGGAGTACAGAAGACACTTCACAACAGGCGGTAAGGAGATTTTATAGGTGGAAGGGGAAATACCTGGTGTGTGGCACCTGTAGCCACAGAGAGCATGGTCAGAGATCGCAGCTTTGTGGCTCCCTCCCCTCTCAGGGCAGGGAACCTGAAGGCCCAGGCTGTGCGTGACTTGGATACACAAAATCAAGGAGATCCAGGCTACACAGACACACACTCACAGTAAGAAGCACAGAAGCACAGCCATAGCTGCAGTGACAAATACCACATGGGAGAGTGGGAGAGCGGGAGAGCACGAGAGCAGGAGAGCGAGAGAGAGCGAGAGAGAGCGAGAGAGAGCGAGAGAGAGCGAGAGAGAGCGAGAGAGAGCGAGAGAGAGCGAGAGAGAGCGAGAGAGAGCGAGAGAGAGCGAGAGAGAGCGAGAGAGAGCGCACCTGGGTTGGGCAGAGGAGGCAGGCTGCAGCTAGCCATGACTGGGAGAGACTTTTGGCTTTTTGGAGAGGTGGTGTGTTTGGAAAGCTGTAAAGTGACTCGGTGCTGCAGTGGGAGTGCCCAGAGAGACTTTCTGAAAGGGGAGCTAAGGCATGCTGGACAAGGACCCTGTGCGCAGCTGCCCTGCCAGCAAGGGGAAAAGACTGAGAGTACAGTTTGTTCCCACTGAGTCAGCTGGGCAGACAGATCAGAAAGATGCACAGCAAGGGGATTTCTCAGCCCCAGCCCCAAACAGCTAGCAGGGTGGGCACTGCACAGAAGCTGCAGAGTGGAGAGTTCAGGACTATCTGCTGCAATGGCAGTGGGCTGGGAACTGGATAGGCAGGAGTTGAGCACCTGAGATTATTTACAGCTGGACAGATCCCTCTTCCCTGGTGGAGACCCAACCTCTAGGAAGGTAAGGACACACTAAGCCCTCATCTTCTATAGGATGAAAGCACCACCAACAGGGAAGCTCTGAAAAACAGGCTGGACAGGCTTAATAACCACCTGGAGGATATATATCTGCAAATGAAAGAGAGAAAGAGAAATACCTAAAGGACCTATTTTGAACTTCTCTTAGGGAGACAAAATACACTGGTTCCTAGGGCTCTATTCCACTGAGGCCAGCAAAGCTGGGAGATCAGAAATCGGTGCAGCTAGGGGAAATCAGGGACCTGCCCAGCCTTGGCTCGCACACAGAGCTGCCATCAGCACCAAGCAGGAAAGAGATAACTCTCTTAAGCAAATCGGCCCCTCCCTTGAAACAGACAGCTAGTTCACCAGAAACTACACATTACGGGAAATAAGCTGGGACAGACCAAGATGGGTGGTGTGGGGCAAAGAGAACAACACACCCACTGTTCAGTCTTCTTTTCCCAGGAAGTCAGTACAGAACAGTGTCTCCTAGGAGAGATCCAGGGATCCCACCCTCCCAATTGCAAAAGAAGCCCCCTCCAGAGGCAGGTGAAGATGAGACAGGTGGTGTTGTGGGAAGTTGGATGACCCACTAGGGACTGTGAGCTGATAAAAATCCAGAGACAGACCCAGAAAGAGAAGACAGAAGGCAAACCCCAAACTGCTGAGATGAATTCTAGCTTTAGAATTTGCATTTTTTTCTTCCGTTTGCATAGCTTTTAATATCTCCTCTTTTGCTTCCATTGTATTCCAACTAATTCACTATTGCCTTTTATATTTTATTTTTTAATTGAGATTTTATATTATTTTTTATTTTACTGTTATTTCAAATCTCACATTGTATCCTTCCCTTGCCTTAGCCCATTTGCCTTCTACCTTCTCTTTCTTGTTTTTGTTGTACATTTTATTTCCCCCCACGCTATGCGTTGTTCCTATTTCCTACTCTTACTATTGCTCCTCCCTCTATCCTCTCAAAAGCATTCTTCCTTCCTTTAGTCAGCTCACATTCTTTTTCCTCTTCTTATAATATTCTCATTTTCTTTCCATATTGTGCCACCTTTATAAATTGTGGCTGTTTGGCATGGATATTATGGTTATTTCACTTCTTCTTCAACTGCATTCCTATTTGCTCACTATTTAAAAAAATTTTTTAATCTCATAGGTTATTCTCCCCCTGTCTTACTCCATTTTGCCTTCTTCCTGCCCTTGCCTATTTGAGTTTGGAATTTTATTTTCTTCCCTTTCTTAACCTGGATTCTATTCCTTATTTTTATTATTTCTCCTTCCCTATCCTCTCAAAATCATTTTTCTTTGCTGATATCTCATATTCTCTTCTCTCTTTTGTATAATATTCTTATTCTCTTTCAACCTTTATCAGTCTTTTCTCAGCTGTCATTGTTACTGACCCTGTTGTGGTTTTTCTGCAATTTTGTTTCCTTTGGTTCACTAGCTTTTAAATTTTATTTCAAACCTCATATTATACTTTTCCCTTTTCTTACTCCATTTTGCTATTGCCTTTCCTGTTTTACTTATGTTTAAAATTTTATTTTCTTTGCCTTTCTTTGCCTTGTTTCTATTACCTACTCTTATTTCTCCTCACTCTTCCCACTGAAAATCATTTTTCTTTCCTTTAGTCATCTCATATTCCCTTTTTCCTACCTTAGAATATTCTTAGTCTCTTTCCAACTTTATTACTCTTTGCTCATTTGCTTTCAATATTGCTGACATGGTAGGGGAGTATTCTTGCTGCCATGGGTTTGGTTTTCTGGGTAGTATTGCTTTGTTAACCATCATCTGTACAACAGAGTACAAGATGTGGCAGGAGTTGTGACTCCCAGTCAGCTGCTGGAGGGAAGAACCCAACAACAAATGAGCCATCAATAATCAAATCCCAAGTACAACAAGAAAGCTTGCATAAACAGAATAAAAGGAAACCCTAGAGAATCAAGATCAGAAGAACCACAGGTACAGAAAAAATGTCAATGAATAAGCACCTATCAATAATAACCTTAAATGTAAATGGATTAAATGCCCCAAAAGAAAGACATAGGGTAGCTGAATGGGTAAGAAAACACTACCTGCATATATACTGTCTATTAAAGACCCACCTCAGAACAAAAAGGTTGAAAACGAAAGGATGGAAAAAATATTCCAAGAAAACAGACACAAAAAGAAAGTTGGGGTCACAATACTTATATTAGACAAAACAGACTTCAACACAAAAGCCATAAAAAAGGACAAAGAAGGTCACTACATAATACTTAAGGGAAGAGTCCAACAGGAGGATATAACCCTTGTAAACACATATGCACCCAACATAGGAACACCTAAATATATAAAGAAAACCTTGGAGGACTTCAAGAAAGATATTGATAACACAGTCATCATAGGGGATTTTAACACCCCACTGTCAGCAATGGATAGGTCTTCCAAACAAAGAATCAACAAAGATATTGTGGTGCTGAACAACCCTCTAGATCAAATGGATATAACTGACATATACAGAACCATTCACCCCCAAAGACACAAAATATACATTCTTTTCAAATGAACATGGAACATTTTCAAAGACAGACCACATGATAGGACACAAAACAAGCCTCAACAAATTCAAGGAAATTGAAATCATATGAAGCATGTGCTTAGATCACAATGGATTTAAACTGGAAACCAAGCTCAAGGAAAGAACTCAAAAACATTCAAATACATGGAGATTAAATAACATGCTATTAAATAATGAATGGGTCAACAATAAGACCAAAGAAGAAATAAAAAAAGTATCTGGAAACAGATGAAAATGAACACTCAACAACCCAAAACCTATGGGACATGACAAAGGCAGTCCTGAGAGGGAAGTTAATAGCAATACAGGTCTACCTAAAGAAGATAGAAAAATCTCAAATAAACAACCTAACCCTACATCTACAAGAACTAGAGGAACAACAACAAACAAAGCTCAGAGTGAGTAGAAGGAAAGAAACAATCAAGATCAGGGCAGAATTAAATGATATAGAGACTAAAAGAACAATTCAAAGGATCAATAAATCCAGGGGCTGGTTACTTGAAAAGAGAAACAAAAT